GGGTGCTGGAGAGGAGCTGTGGGAGCGGGCAGAGGCTGGGGGAGATGGCAGACGGGAATCCGTGCAGAGAGGGCACAATCATGAGAACAGTGATGCATTTTGGAATGTTTACAATAGCTTAATGGAAACGTCAGTGGTATAAAGGCTAATAAAGGGGAAAATGCTGGGATTCACTCCCAGAGGGCTATGGAACAGCGCAGAGAAGAGCTCCAGCCGCTTCCCTTCTCCACGGGGCACCTGCGTCTCCGTTTGCTAAAGCCACACAGTCGGTCCAGAAAAGGTTCAGATGATGGTGGCCAGAAATGCATGGAATAGCTGAATAAACCAGGAGTCATCAGTCTGGAAAAGGGATGATTGTGGGGATTTTGTAGAGGTCTATACAATGATGGATGTTCTGGAGAGGCTGAATACGGTTTGCCCAGTGCAAGAACTACCGACTATCAAATACAAGTAGCAGGAGGCGGGTTTTCACGCAGCTTGCAGTTATGCTGTGAAATGCCTTGTGGCAGGACACAGTGGATGGTGTGAATATTTACATGTGCTTACAGGAGGATTGGACAATGTAAGGGAAAGAAAATCCTTTGAGGAGCACAATCTCCATCTGGCTCGGTACGTCTGTGCTGCGGGTGGTTGGAAAGTGGTGTCATTATTCTGTAAGAGCAAGATATATGCATGTCCTACACTTACACCATCTCATAAGCATCCGCTTCTTGAACAGGACACTTATCTGGGTTGACCCCACATCCTGTATGGCCATTCATTTTAAGGCCATGTAGATAATAACATCTCATCTCCGCCTTCTGGCTCCTAACAGAAGTTGGAATACTTGAGTACGAGTGGTACGGAGGTTAAACTGCCTGGAGAATTTGCAAGTGTAAGCGTGGGGAAGGCGTATAGGAAATCTGATTCAGCCCTTATTAAAACAGGGTTAGATTTTGGAAAGGAAGAGGCTGATGAGTGACCAGAGGCGTGAGTAATAGTCAGAGGAAAGGTTGTAATATCGCAGAGGCGTTACTAGGTGGCGATAGTAAATTGTTAATGAGGTAGAAAAGGCCCAAATTTTCAGCAAGTGTTTTTGTGTTTGGAGAGATGTCGGAGGATGTTTTTGCAAAATCCATGCGATAAGTTACTCCCCACTCTGCTGCTAATCCCAGATAACGTCAAACACATTGGGTAGGGATACGCTATTTAAATCACTAGGCCCAGATAACTTTGACCTAGAAGTATTAGAAGTGCTGATTGTTATTTTTAATTTAGATTACTAGGAAGTTTCAGAAGGCTGGCTGAGGTTGGCCAGCGCTGGAATGACCTGTGTGCCTTTGCCCTCCTGTTTATTCTGGGCAGAATTTTAGAAATACTGATAAGTTATTTGATTAATAAATAACTAAAGGTTAGGCATATAATTAACACCACTGAGCTTATGTTTATGGTGAGTACAGTAAGTTCTCTCAAATTTATTTGGCTTGTTTTTTTAAGATGACCATGGTGATTTGATAAGGCTGACAGTCTAAATCTGAAACACTTAGTGTTGTGTCAGGTCCAGGTTCAGCACTGCGTAACATTCGAGTTGAAAAAGTTAACTCTGTGTATGATTAGCAAAGTGCTGGGTGAGTGAGATTTCCTTAACTGGTGGTTTTAGTGGTTGTCTGTGGAGAATATGATTCAAATCAAGCGTTTTCCAGGCACCATTGCAATACATACTAAATTTGGCACTTCCTTCAAAGCCTTTTGCAGTCACTTCTAACTGGAGTTCATCTCATCAATGAGTTTGTCACCACTTTTAGCGGCACAGCAAGTACCGATGCTGTGAAACACAAGTCTTACAGGAGCAGGAGGAGGTTTTTTCAGTAGGATCAGTCATGATCTGTAGGTAATGAGACCTTGTGAGTTTTTATCTATACTACAGAATCTGTAGAATCTGCATTGGCACAAGTATTTTGTGAAATTGTCACAGAATCACATAGGGTTGACAGGGACCTCTGAAGATCATCTAGTCCAACCCCCTGCCAGAGCAGGTCCATCCAGAGCAGGTTGCACAGGAACGTGTCCAGGTGGGTTTGGAATGTCTCCAGAGACAGAGACTCCACCACCCCCCTGGGCAGCCTGTTCCTCTGCCCCTCTCAAAGTAAAGAAGTTCCTCCTTATGTTTAGGTGGAACTTCTTATACTCAAGTTTGGGCCTATTTCCTCTTGTCCTGTCCCTGGGCACCACTGAAAAAGAACTGGCCCCATCCTCTTGACACCCTCCCTTTAAGTATTTATGAGCATTGATCAGATCCCCCCTCAGCCTTCTCTTCTCCAGACTAAAAAGACCCAAGTCCCTCAGGCTTTCCTCATGGTTGAGCACACTGTTGCATTTCTCACGATAGCCCTACCTGGTCCCTCTGACTACTTCCGTGGAACTGATGACAATGCTTTGTAACGCCAGGAATGTTGTGTGTGCAGAAGAGCTAGGAATTTGTATCTGGATTGTTTTATTAAATAGTTTAGGAGATAAATTGATTAGAGTTATCATCTGAAGTTACCAACAGCTTCATCAGAGAAGTTCTGAACTGACACACGTGTAACTGGGCTGTGTTCAGGGACACTAAAATAATAGATCAGCGATGGCAGGCTTTCATGGGCCAGCAGCAGAGAAAACAAAAGGGATAGTGGAAAGGAGCCACAATCTTAAAAACTCAGTATTTCAGTGGTATTTTTGCTGGATGGCATCTGAGCAGTAGAAGTTTGACAACAGACTCTGGAGGCCCTATCACTCCCTCCTTTGTTTTTGGCAGCCCAATTTGGCATCGTTTTTGAGCCTGCTGAGAGTGCTGACAGTGCTGCTGCCCCGGTCTCTCCTGGAGATAGGAAACTGGACGGGCACTGCAGCGTGTTGGGAGCTGCTCCGAGGGGAGATGGACCTGACTCTTGGGATACCTCAGTCTGTTCCTGGGGGTGTCTGAGACTGACAGAGGAAATTATTCACCATTTCTAGACCTGGATTTGTGAGGAGTCCTTCATGCCTCTCACTTCTAAACTTTGCCCTGAGGTCCAAAATCTCAGACTGTGGTGTGTTTTGGTCTTGCTCCATTCCCTGACTGTCCCCTTGGCATTCATGTACTTGTGGTGCAACAAATGGAGGGCCTTGGCATGCACCAAATGTCTCATGCTTTTCTGAGAAACCCCAAGCATGTGGGTCCTACCGAGGATAAGATACCTGAGTGCTTGTAGCAGAGCAGCATTTGCTGGGATTAAATTTCTTGTGCCCTCATGTTGTTGCTGGTTTTGTAGGAAAATGGTGGCTTGCAGGAGTGCTCCAGCCCATCTTTTGGGGCTCTCTTTGCAGTGTGCTCGGTCTTTTTTTGCCTTATTGCAGAATGGGCACTTTCTGCTTTTTAACCCCTCTCCTCTCATGAACGCTGCATTTCTTCTGCAGTCCTTTTGCCAAAAGCATTGCTCCACATTGAGCAGATGCTGCACTACCCTCAGGGTGTAAAAGGTCAGTAGATGGTCAAAGCACCTTCTTTCAGCCATTGGAATGGGCTGCCCAGGGAGGTGGTTGAGGCACCATCCCTGGAGGTGTTCAAAAGACGGGTTGATGTAGTGCTGGGAGATATGGTTTAGTGATGGTGATGCTTCTTGTTTGTTGTGTGGGTGTCTATTTTTGTCAGTTAGGTTGACGGTTGGACAAGATGATCTTTGAGGTCCCTTCCAACCTAGAAGATTCTGTGATTCACTTCCACTTCAATTGGCCCGGTCTGCCCTTTAAAAAAAGGTGATTGTTACTGATGTTGTGCCTGTCTCAGGCGTTCTGATAGAAGTGCATCTCTGTGTGAGGTGTGGTTTTGATGGTGTAATTCATAGGAGGGCTCCAAAGAGCTGGAGAAGATCCTGATTCTTCTTGAAGTCTTAGAATAAGACAGACTGCGCCATGCTTTCTATAAGCTTTCTGAAGACCTTCTCCATGACTCCCTCCCTGCCGAGGCTGGTCTCCTAAAGAGAGGCAAGGATAAGCCATCTTGAGCACTAGTGGTGAGTTTGGCAGGGCCAGGTCAGTAGATTCAGGTGGCATTTGCTGAATCACTCTGCGGCCACAACCACAGGAGCACTGTCCTCTTGTGCAAGAGTCCTGGAAAGAGCAGCCCGGTGTGTTGCTTGAGGCACACTTCGACTTTTAAAGGATGGATTAATCTCTCTCCTTTGCAGTGATTACTGGTTGTCTGGGATTTCTACATGGAAGAAATCCACAAAAGAATTTACAGCAGAATTGGGGTAGAACAGGACAAAATTCAGAATTGCTGTGAGATGCAGAGAAGAGCAGGTGGGCAGAGCGCAGTCCCAGAGCCCAGCTTTAACCCTTGGCATGGTGTTGCTGGCAGAAGGAATAAGAGACCCTCATGTTAGAATTGACCACTTGGAAAATTGCCTATTGACATTTAAGGGTTGTGTTTTAAGCTGTCCACCTAACGGGGAATTTTGTTGCCTGAGGGGAACGCAGAAATCCCTGTAAACTGTTAGGATGGAATGTGGATGTGAGAGCACAAGCATTGCCTCCGGCTGCCTGCGAGCAGCACTTCTGGACAAAGCTGCAATTGGACAAGAGTTATTTTATTAAACGGTTTTGCCGGAAGATTGCTTTAGTGGGAAACACAAATGTTTTACAAGGAGGAGCTTGTTTCCCTACAGGCAAGATAAAACAGAAGCAGAGATTTTATTTATTTATTTATTTTTTAAAATAAAAAATCATTATCTTTGTCAGCCTGACTTTTGGCAATCTATTTTTATTACTTCTCATAAGGGACAAATGAAGTTGAAACCCAAATGATGAGTTACGATTGATGATCGTTAATTTCTTTTCAGTTACTGGTATGTGAGAATTAATTAATAGGACATATGAGAAGCTGAAATCAAAATTTCAAATTTCCTACCAGAAAATTGTGTTGTGAGAGCTGTGGTTGGCATGTCATTCTGCTAAACTGGCTTCATTGCTGACCTCTCCTCTTCTCTTGTCTTCTGCAGGGTGGGATAAACATTCGTACGGGTACCACGGTGACGATGGGCACTCCTTCTGTTCTTCTGGGACAGGACAGCCCTATGGCCCGACCTTCACCACTGGGGATGTGATTGGCTGCTGTGTTAACCTTATCAACAATACCTGCTTTTACACAAAAAATGGCCACAGTTTAGGTAAGTAAAATGGTGTTCTTAGGAGGGGGATGCTCCTGTCCTGCTCTCACTGCTGCTGTTTAATGCTTTGTTTGGGTTATAACTTCTGTCCCAGATTTTTGGGTAAAATTTAAGAAACAGGAAAGAAAAAGAGCACTGAGCAGCACTCAGGAGATGTAAATTGGCTCCAAGACATAAATTTTTCCAGCACATAACATGGTTTCTGTGCTGCTCCATTCATTTAGGTGGGTTAGGATTCTGCTGCTTTCCTCTGCTGCTGCAGCCGGGGAGAGGTGGGACAAGATGGCTGGGCCAGGAAATAAAGAAGTGGGAAGTTTAGTTAGTGTATTATTCAACTGACTAAAAATGCCCCTATATCAGGGTCTTTTTACTTTTTAGAGGGACTTGTCAATCTGTAAGCCTTGACACGTTGGTCCAAGCATTCCCAAAGTCAGACATTAATTCAGCATAAGAAGTCTTACTTAAGTACTCACTTCTAATTTGGTTCATTCCACATTTGTTTCAGTAGTTTGTTTTGGGTTTTTTTTTGTCACATAAGACATGCTGTAAATTTTGATAAATTAATCTCACTTTTTGTGCTGGAATTTGTTTGGTTTGGCAGGGACAAGCACTCCTTTCCTTTGCTTCTCCTTGCTGTGTCAGTTCTCCTTTGGTGAATTCAAGATGAAATAACTGGTAGAAAAATACCCCACTGAAAATACTTACCAGAACAAAAGTTGTTTGGGGTTACTGGCTGGGCTGAAGGAAGGAGTGGGATTGGAGTGCACGGTGTGTCTGGATAGTCCATAATTTCTTTCTGAGCTCTTGGGAAAAGCACTTGGCTCCCCAGTATTAGAGAGATGGACTTACTGGAGAGAGTCCAGCAAAGGGCTGCCAAGATGACAAAGGGACTGGAGCATCTGTCCTGTGAGGACAGGCTGAGAGAGCTGGGGTGTTCAGCCTGGAGAAGAGGATGCTCATAGGGGGACCTCATTTTATGTATAAATACATATTCTACAAAACAAATTTGTATAAATACAAATTCTATGATTCTATGATTATGCATAAATACCTGAAGGGGTGGGTACAAAGAAGATGGAGCCAGGCTCTTCTCAGTGGTGCCCAGTCCCAGGACCAGAGGCCACCAAACTGTCACACAGGAGGTTCTCGCTGAACATCAGGAGACACTTGCACTGTGAGGATGACCAGGCACTGGCTCAGGTTGCCCAGAGAGGCTGTGGAGTCTCCATCCGTGGAGGTATTCAGAAGTCATCTGGACACAGTTGTGGGCAGGCAGCTCTGGGTGGTCCTGCTGGAGGAGGGGGTTGGACCAGATGACCTTCCAGAGGTGTCTCCAATCTCAGCCAGCCTGCGGTTCTGTGGAAGCAGCACACTGTGTTACAGGTATGGCAGAGATGGATCTGAGATAGCGGCTTTTCCTCCTCAAATCTCAAGAAGGATCCTTCTATGAGGCAAATGCAGAAAGGCGTGGTGCTTAGGCAGACAAACTTCTTTTGGAAATTTGTTTTCAGTTTTCCTCTACTTTCATATGCACCGTTTGTTAATTTGTGAGGGGATGGTTGCCTAGAAATGAGGTGCACGCCTTCTGAGAAGCAGCTAGTCCTGATACTTTGCAATGTGTCAGGACGTCTCCAGCTCTGAATGGAAAAAAAAATTCTTTGAGCATCCTTTGGGACTTGTTTTTAACATTCTAATTTTATAAATAGAGCCTTGACCCAGTAGGGGAGCTTCTCAGAGTTGAGTGTCTGATCTGGCTTGTTCTTTGAAATCATGACTGTTTATCAGCCCAAAACAGTGATGCTGGAGAACTCCTAGTGAGGACTTTTGGCTTAAACATCGGGAGATCAGTCACTAGTGGAGACACTAAGAGTCATTTGTAGTCCATAAGGGAATAGGGTGGTGGTGGAAGGGCTCTTCAGATGCTTTTGTTGAGCTTTGTGAGATTTGTGCTGGACCGTTTCTCCAGCCTGTTGAGGTCTTTCTGAATAGCAGTATGTCCTCCGGTGTATTGTCCTCTCTCCCGTTTGTGAGCCTGCTGGGAGTGCACACCCTCCATCGTCCAGGTCATTAGTAAAGACATTGGCCGTACTATCGATCCCTTAGGGATGGACTTTGAGCTGCTGATCACGACCCTTCGATCCTGACAGCCCAGCCAATTTTCCACCCACCTTGTAGTCCACTCAAAAGTCATCTGCTGTCCGTGTGCCAGATGCAGCTCCACGTGTTGGCATGGGAAAGCGGGGCCACCTCTGGCTCTGAGTGTCCCTTGGTGGCAGAGGAGGACTCCAGTGGGCTGCAGACGCAAGGACCTTGGCCTCATTCTAGTGTAAGGGTAGAAACAAGCTTTCATCCAGCTGAGCAAAACAAGTGCAAAGTGGAAAATGGTTTTGAGTGAGGAACAATAGTATTTGGGTAAAGAGAGGGAATGAAAGGAATGTTTATTGGATGTTTTTCTCAGCCAGGTATTCAGCATTACTTTTATGCACAATTTTTGGTTGGGTTGTAGAGAGGGTACTCAGCAGACAAGGTCCAAACTGTTGTGATGTTGATTAAACTGTATTGGCTATCTGCCGGGGTGTTAATTAAACCTTATTGGCTGTGCAGGTAGTAAAATAGTCAGGATTTTTTCCCAAGCGTTTCACAGAATCACAGAATCACCTAGGTTGGAAGGGACCTTTAAGATCATCTAGTCCAACCATCAACCTAAATCAAATCTGAGTTTGAGTTTGGTTTTGGATCTGCACTATTTTGAATGTTTGTTTCCCATGTTGACTCCTCAAATTGGTTTAAATTACCGTTTCAGGCTACGTTCCATCGCAGCTCTTGGTTAAAATAACCCTAACCTTAAAACCCAAGAATGATGTGCTCTGGTGTCCGTGCAGGCTGTCGTGTGTGTTGGTGCCAGGCAGGAGGGGCTGCTGCGTGGCTGGGAGGGGGGACGTGCGCCAGAAATGGGCATGCTGGTATGGGTGGCTACCAGCCTTCTTCTGGCTGGGGACAGAAGGCATTGCTGGGAGCGCGCACGGGGCAAGGCTGCAGCTCCCATATGGACTCCTGAAATGTTAGCTTAGAGGTGAATTAAGTTCAGCCTGTCGCTGGCTGATTGTCTCGCCGTGCTCCTGCCTCGCTGATGGATCTGAATGATGGTGGCTGGAGGGTCACACCACGGGACCCCTCCTTCGGAGCGGTCCCTCACACCTCACTGGGATGCAGAGCTGTGCCCACCTGACCATAGGTGAGCGTTGTCTCCAGCCTTAACTCCATTAGCGTCCTCAGCAACTGCTTAAATATCTCTTTTCTGACGTGGCAAATGTAAATAAAAAGGGAAACCATACACTTTTTTTCCCATCTCTCATACCTGAGACCTCAAGCGTAGTTGAGGGTGAAGCAGTTCTTTGCCTGGTGGTTCTCAGGTGCTCCTGGCTGCAGCTTCCTCCCGTTGCAGGGCTGGTCCCCAGCTGCAGTGCAAAGGGTTGAATGTTCATTCCTTCCTCTCCAGAGGGTAAGAAGAACTAGTTCTAGCCTAAACTGAAGCAGTGTTACAGTAAAACTCTGTTTTCTAAAGCCAAAGTGAGTCTTGAAAACAAACTCCTTCATAATAACACAGGGAGAAGCAAAGAAAAGAGGAGCTGCTTTTTAGAAAATCACATTTTTGGGAAAGATGTCTGAAACGTTAGGCTTTTCCCTGAACCTTTCTCCAGGTGCAAAACCTTGCAGAGGAGGGTACTGGGGGAGGGAAGTTACTTCTAAAAATTACAAGTGGGGAAATACATGGTCAGAACCAGGGTTTATTGAAATACATTAGCGCTTTGTAGCGTGTTAAGGATGTAGCCAAGCAAGGAAAAAAAAAATCCTTTGTCTTTTTAATTCTTAATATTTTTCCCCCCACAGGTATAGCCTTTACAGACCTCCCCGTAAGTACACCAATTTTTGTTATTTTAACTAAGGGTGCAAACAGAAGGGAGGGGTACACCAATTTTTGTTATTTTAACTAAGGGTACAAACAGAAGGGAGGGGAAAGAAGAGTGAAGGGGTGTAATTTTTTCTTTTCTCTTTGATGCCCTGTTAAAAAAAAAATTGGTAACACACATGTACTGAACGGTGTGAGTGCTCCTTGTTCTGAAAATTCATAATCCTGTGGCTGGGTTTGTGGGCTACTCACATGCCTCCTCTCATCCCTCGCTGCAAAGTCATGGAGAAATCTCCCATGTCTCATCATCAGAGCACCCCAAAATCCTTACAAAAAAAAAAGAGCTTTTACCCACGACTTCCACAATGGGTCATGAGCAAAAAAAAATGGTTGCTCTTTGTCAGACCCAAGTGTTCCTGGAGAGAAAGCAGGTGTTTAGGAAAAGGAGATAAAACCAGGTCAGGCATACACTAGTACAGCACTGCATCATTTCTCTCGTACATAGAACTTCTTGTCCTCCTGTCTTTGTTTTTAATAACCCCACATGAATTCCCTCTGAGGAATTTCTCAGTTTCCATAACTTGTTTAGGCCTCCAAAGGGATCGCTTTTCTTGGCTGACTTCACAGAGTGTGGAAGAAAACTTGCTTTTCTCTGTTTTACACCTCCTGCCAACAATTTTGGTTTGTTCCTCTTAATTTTTGTGTTGTGAGAAATACTGACTAGCACTCCCCATTCACCTTCCTCGTGGGAGTTATGGCTTTACACATCTCTCTCAAATGCCAGTGTCTAGGCTGGAGGACGTTCCAGTTACTTGATTTGCCTTTCCACATCAGCTGTCACTACAGCTTGTTTTTGTTAGTTCCTAGGCTCTTCGAACTTGGTAACGTCGCAGTGTGTTCTGCAACCAGAAACCCTCTTTATGTGGGTTGTTTCACAGTTATTTATTCACTTGGTCCAAGTACAGTTTATTAAACTAAAAGAATATTTTACCTGTCCATGAATATTAACCTTTTGGAGTAAGGTCTTGTGACAACGTTGCATCCATGGCAAGAAGACACTTCTGTGATACAACCCTTAGTTTTAGGTGCTCTTTGTTTTCCCTCTGAAAATAGATGACATTAGGAGTCACGGTTTTGTCTTCTAATAAAGGAGTATCTTCTAATTTTTTCACTCTTTTATATTCTCACTTGGTTAGGCTGCCTCTTTTTCTGAGCTGGGAGCAGTCTTCCTGTTGTGATAGATAGTTAATTACTATTTAGGCTCTCACCAATTAAAAATAGCTATCAAACACACCAAAATACACATCCCCTTGTTTTGTTGTTTGCAGCTGAAGTGTTGCCATAGGTTTGCTGAGTTGTTTTCTGTGGAGATCTGTTTCTGGCTTTTACAGCAGCAAATGATCCATAACACAGTTTTTCTGGGCCAGGAAGGACAACAATGGCCTCTTACTATGATAGTAGGCCTCCTACTATTGTGAATTATCCTCCATGAGATAGTTTCTTTTTAAAAAGTGGGCAAAGAGAGGGTTGACTGGGTCATTTCCCTCCCTAATGGTGGGTGTGAGCAAAGACAGGAGACTTCTGCCTCCCTGTGGATTTTGGCCATTCCTCTCCATGCGCTAAATGGCTCAGCTGTTGTGTTGGCAGCTTCACCCTAAGGATGCCTGCACCCAACTTCTATCATTCCTGTCTTCTTTTTCCAATATCCTTCCCTTGAATTACTGCCTTCTTCCCACACCTTTGCAGACACTGGTGTATTCTGTGCCCTTTTTTGGCTATTTTTGCTCCCCCAGTCCATGGCTTCTTGGTTGTTCTTCCAAACAGTTGAAGTTACTGCCCTTTCCGGAAGAAGGGGATGCCAAACCCAAGGTGGACTTTTGGTTTAAATGTAATGGCTGTTGTCAGACATGGTAGAAATCTTGAGGTAGTAGGGAATTTGAAGTTGATATAATTTGCAAGTGCTGTTTTTCATTTATTGTAGCGTTGTGCTTGAACACAATGTCCATTCCTTAGAAGGTAAAGAAGAGAAAACATCCATCGTATGAAAGATACAGAATGTAACCTGTGTTGTTTGTCTTCTAAAGCTGCAGTCTGAAAATCTATCTGCAAACGGGAACAGAAACGGCAGTCTGACCTGAGTGACCCCTGAGGTTCTCTGGTTTGAGCAGCTTGACTTGCCTTTTTTTGGTGCGTTTCACCCCTGATCACTGAAATCCTCCCAGGAGGGGCTGGAGATTGAAAGCCTTTTTCTTGCATTATGGCTTACGTGGTGTTGAGGCTGACTGGTGGCACATGTCAGCGAGAAGCTTGGCCAGTAAGCCCCATGTCTTCTACAACTTAAAGCTTAAATAACTTCCAGGGTTGGAATTTCAGTGAGATTACACCAGGAATTAATTTGACCCTTCAATCTGTTACCAGTGTAGAAACTGTTTCCTTGAAGTGCGTACTGCCAAATTCTCCTTTCAGAAGCAAATGATGAAGACAATATTTTGCAATATTTGCAATATTAGGAAGTTGAAAGAGATACAAAGAGATACTTTCAGTTGAAAACCACATTTTATTATGCTAATTCTCACACACAGAGAACCGTATTTGCTTCAGCTTCTTTCAGTTCCCTCTAAAGAGCATTTGCATTTGTACGAATATACATGAGGGAAAAAATTGCATTTTGGCTTAGCACAGGTTGAAGTTTATACAAAAATAGCTGCTTATATCCCACAGAGGGAGTTTTCCCCTTTTCCACCAATTTAAGTTAATGCTTAGGCCTAACTCTCTTACTTACAGAAGCCCCTCTCAGGTTTATCCCTCCTGGTGGTTTGCTGAAATAGGAAATGTAAAAAAGCAGAATGTGGAAGAGCCCAGGGATGGATTGCAGGGGGACAAAGGGATAAGGAGGTTAAAAAACAAGTCAAGATGAATGAGGGGGTTGTGAGCAACTGGCCACCAATATCAGAGGGAAGAGGTGGTCCAAAAGTCACTGGGAAAGTGTGCCTGAAGAACTTGGCAGGAGAAGCATCTGGCCGGTCAGTGGGCTCTGGGATGATGTCTGCTCGTGTCTGGCAGGGTGGTGGAGATACATGTAGTTCCCAACAGTTGCTTAAGAGAGAGGACACATCCCACATGTGAAAAATGGCATTTTAACTCGGAGATGGTTTGAGAGAAGTTGGGGGTACGCAGCTTCCCTTCAAATATGAATATACCCCAAAGTACCTGAAAAATACATTATATGTTATAACTTGGAGTTTTTTACTTCTAACTTCCAAGTATTTTGGGTGTCCCATACCTGGCTTTGGAAGTCCTTGGGTTCGTAGTACTAAAAAATTAAGTTAATAAAAAAAATCAGATCTGTGGAAAAGATCTGATCCATCATTAGAGATATTTCCTTGTGAGCTGGGTTTGAAAGAAAGGAGAGCCTGACTTCAAACACGGCATTTTCCTCTGGAAGCTCCTCCTTTCTCATGCCGTATTTGCACACCTTTCTATCTCAGAAACTTCCTTGGCGTGAGAATGGGAGAAGAAGAGGCACACTGAGTCAGCAATGATGCAGTCATCCTGATCTCTCATGTCAATTCCCATCCTGTATTTATAGATTAATTTTTTTTTCTTTGGTATTTGAGATTCGATAATTTCAAAGGTAGAGAAGGCTGGTCAGGACCTTATCCAGTTGAATTTTGGAAATCACCGAGAACAATGATGCTGCAGTCTCTCTAGGAACCTATTCCAGTCTTTAATCATACTCACAAGGAAGAATTTCTTTCTTATGTCCCATCAGAATTCCCCTGGCTGCAGCTTGTGCCCCTTGTCCTTTCACTGAACTACCTGGAGAAGAATTTGTCTCCATCTTTTTTATCACCTGCCTTTTGGGAGTGGGAGACCTGCAGTTAAATTTTTCCTTTTTCTCTTCTCTGAGCCTCTCCTGGTACACCAGGCACTCCAGCCCTCTGGCCATCTTAGCAGAACTCTACTGGACTCCCTTTGGGAATGTCTTTCTTGTCCCAGGGCTGTGGATGTGGAGATGGAAATCTCAGTCTGGTACTGCAGCCATAGCCATGCCAGTGACAGCAGAGAGGAGTAATCTCTTCCCATGACTCACTGGCTCCATTTTTGCCAACATGATTAGGATTCTGCTGAGTTCTGCCTCATAGCAATCTTAATTCTTTTACTAAAAAATAAAATCCACAATTAACTAGGTCTCAAGGGGAGATCAAGGACATTACCAATGTCTCAGATCTCTGCAATAGTGAAGAACTAGTTGAATAAATTTTCCATATAATTGTAGTAAAGCCCATGCCCCTTGCTATAGAGGAGAAGAGCACCATCCTGGCTTTCTTTAGGATGACCATCTAACCACCAGTAGTAGTTCTTGCTGGTTTGAGAGAGGTCTGCTCCTTCACTGATCTAATGTCTGACATGGGTTCAACCATGAGCAAGACATTGCACCAAGCACCTTCCAGACTTCAGCCTCACTAGGTGCATCATAGAATCATGGAATTGTCTGGGTCGGAAGGGACCTTTCAGATCAAGTCCAACCATCAACCTCACACTGACAAAACCCATCTGTCCGTGTGCCTTGCCCAGTGTCTGGATTCTGGCTGTGGCAGTCTCCAATGTGAAAGTGAAAAAACCCAACACCAAGCAGGTCATGAGAGAGATTTCCTCCTAAACCCCACAGGCCATCAGCAGGTGCCCTGAAGCAGAGGATTTACCGGAGTCTGTGTTGCAATCAGAAAAGTAATTTGTGCTGTAGAAAAGTGACATGACAGGGAACGGAGCATTCTTTTAAAAAATGTAATCCAGAGGGATGAAAACCAGGCACCCCCTTACCTTTTCTGATGCCTTTTCTCTTTTCCCCGCATTTCAGTGGGCTCGGGGATTCAGTTCATATCCATAAGCTTATTCTTAAAATAGCCTGAACTTCTAGATAGACTTTGACCACTATTGTCAATTACATCATCTTTGGAAACTGAATTTTAGAGGTATTTTCATGGTGGTAACCTTTTTTTTTTCCATCTATATTCTGGTGGCGGGTCAAAGCTTCCATTTGGATCCATATGCTTGTTTTTAAAATGAAATTTGTCTATCACCAATGGAATTTCTTGTGTGGATGGCTTGTTGTCTTGGGATCATCAAAGACCAAACCTCAGAGCTGCACTACCATCCGTTATCTTTTCATCAGAGATGTAAAATATTCAGAAAGCAGCTTCCAAGGAATAAGAGAGTTCAGTTGAAACAGCGGAGAGCACATGGATCTGTTGATTGAGATGATGCCCTTTTCACTGTGTTGTTGTTGTTGTTATTATTATTATTATTGTTATTATTTGCTGGCTCTTGAACTTTGGTAGAAATTGCAGAAAACTAAGCCAGAAAGTGAACACACCATAGAGAGCAGCCATGGCATTGATCCCAGGCTGCTGGGGACTGAACCCCTTGTTCTGGCTTGTACTTTTTAATAACTGCACGATATTAATGGGGTTCCTTGAGATGTACCTAAAGGGCTGTTGCCCCTTCCATTTTTCAATGTAAAGAGCAGCTCCTTTGCCTTACCGAACCACGTAACTGGAACCAGAGAGAGAAAGCTGGGTTTAATACGGGTTTCTTTTTCTTCCTTCCTAGTCAAATCTCTACCCGACAGTGGGTCTCCAGACGCCAGGAGAGATCGTGGATGCCAACTTTGGGCAGCAGCCCTTTGTGTTCGACATTGAGGACTACATGAGGGAGTGGCGAGCAAAGATTCAGAGCACCATTAAGCGGTTTCCCATAGGAGACAGACTAGGCGAGTGGCAAGCCATGCTGCAGAAGTAAGTCGCTGTTCTGTTCAGCTTCTTTCAGTCTGTTAGGATTGAAATACTGTTTTTTTAATGCTAATTTATGCTTTCTTATGGCAAAAATTGCCAGTCAGTGCATTTTGCTCAATTTGTTTTACCCTCTGTTTTGTTGTTTAATAGTCTTTCCTATGTAGATTGCTGCTGTTTCAAATGTAAAAGATATGGGAGAAGTTTTCAGCCAAAGACTGCATGAAAGCTTGTAGGAATGGAAGAACATACACTTTGAGGTGATGCACTGGGGGAAGGGGAGTGGAGAGGACACCATAAAAACTCTAACATAGGAGCAAAGCCAGTATGTAAGTCAGCTGAATTCAGAAATGAAAGAGCAAGAAATAGCCTAAACCAAAGGCTTCCAAACCTAAACCTAACTGAAAACCCAATTATGGCACTTTATAAAGTTATGATTATTGAATGCATTTCCCATTGCAAAAAGGATTGAGTGGAACTTGATGAGAACAGTTGACAAGAGTTATCAGAGGTCAGGAGTATCTTCTGCCTGAAGAAAGACAGAGCTGACTAAGGCTCCACAGCTCGGAAACAGGTAACCGAGGGAGGTGGACTGTAGTTGTCTGTCAGTCATTGACACCATGAAGAGCATCACTAGAAAGTGGTCATTCACGGTTTCTCAAAACACAAGAATTTGAGAAAGAGCACTTTCTGGCTTAAAAACAAAATATGTTTTTTTTTCCCCTGACTATATGAAACTGTGGGACCTGCTGCTGCTGCAAGAAGTTCTTGTGATTTAAGTGGATTTTAAAAGATAGACTTTCAACTATTCACAGTAATTCATGGACGCTAATTCTGTAGTTCTGTTTTAAAACCCCAAGTCTATGGCTGTTGCTTCTATCTCTGATTGATTGCAAATATCTCTGTGTTTCACCTTTTTATTATACTCTTTCCCTAACCACCTGATACTGGTCGCTGTCATCCAGGAGACTAGGATGCAATGATGGTCGCACCCATGTGATTGTTTTTGTTTTCTGCTGGTCTTGTATTTAGTTATTTGCAGATAATTCAGGGCAACCAGCAAAGCCTTTGACAAGCAACTGGCATAAGCTATCAAAAATGATAATAACATCCTTCTTCAAGAAAATAAGGAGCAGGAGGCCTGCCAGAGAGTTTGTAGGACCTATAGAGAATGCAGTATAAAATAAAGACTATATCCAGCTGAATTCTCTGCCTCAGCGTGCAGAAATCGGGTAGGTTGTCATTCTGGGACCCTTCTTTGTGAGGGACTTGTCAGAGGCTGTGCCTGGAATTGAAGTTTCTGTCACAGAAGCACTGGAAGAAATAGGTGAGGGGAAGTGGAGAAAGTCACTTGAATCAGATAATTACCCAGATTCCTAATGGGACTCAAGGAGTAAACAGATGAGCTTGTAGCTGTGGAACAAAGTTTCTCTCCAAAGAGAAGAGAAGGGGAGGATGGTGTGTATGGTGCCATGTTTCATGAAGGGTTTCAGAAGAGAGTCAGGCAGCAATGGGCTGAGAGAACCTTGATGTCTGGCTTGGACAAAGCTGTCCTACTGCTAAAGGGTAGATGCATTGGACAGATGGAGAAATAGGACATGAGCTTTGCAAAGAGGAGCCAGCAGACATGTGGGTATGGTTCTTGGGCTACTGTCTTTGTCTTGGAAGTCCAAAAGGCTTTTGAGAAGTTCCTTTGCTGCAGAGGCTGAGGGCACAAGCCCAGTGTGGATTATGAGTTGTTTAAAAGAGAGAGAGGGAATGAGTGGGAAAGGGTTTGTCACTTGAAGCGGAGGAGTCTGTAGAGAGATTTGGATGCATGCTGGTAGTGTCTGTGATGTTGAGGGTGTTCAGAAATTACTGGGAAGAAGGGACCTTCCAGGAAGAAGGAATGAGGTCTTTGGGTTATGATGAATCATTGCACAGAAATGTCAGCTCATTTATTTGCCAGCGTGCAGAAAAAAAATATGAAAAATTCTAGGACTTGTTGGGGGAAAAACAGAGGAGAAGAATGATTCTGTTTCTGCGTGAATATGTGGGGCACCCTTAATGTGAATACCATGTGATGTTCTTTCTCTCCAAGAGTATGTGGTAGAAGTGAGAAAAGCATGGGGAAAAAAACAGGGCAGGATGTGCAAAGGTATGGGGTGAGTGTACGTCAGGGAACAAACATACAGACCCACAGCGTTGAGGGAAACGATTGCGAGGGGCAAGGCAGAAGCGTGGTAAAAATATCATGAGTAGCCTTGAGAAGGTGAGGAAGGAACAGTTGTACTGAGAGAATGAAAGGGAAAGTTGCCCAGGGGAAAAGGACCCGGGGATGTTGGTTGACAGCAGCTGAATATGAGCCAGCAGTGTGCCCAGGTGGCCAAGGTGGCCAACAGCATCCTGGCCTGTGTCAGGAACAGCGTGGCCAGCAGGACTGGGGCAGTGACCATCCCCCTGTACCGGGCACTGGTGAGGCCCCACCTCGAGCACTGGGTCCAGTTTTGGGCCCCTCATGACAGGAAAGACATTGAGGTGCTGGAGCGTGTCCAGAGAAGGGCAGTGGAGCTGGTGAGGGGTCTGGAGCACAAGTCTTGTGAGGAGCGGCTGAGGGAGCTGGGTGTTCAGTGTTCAGCCTGGAGAAAAGGAGGCTGAGGGGAGACCTTCTCGCTCTCTCCAACTCCCTGAAAGGAGGGTGTAGCCAGGGGGGGTCGGTCTCTTCTCCCAAGGAACAGGTGATGGGACAAGAAGAAACAGCCTCAAGTTGCACCAGGGGAGGTTTAGGATGGATATTAGGAAAATTTTCTTCACCAAAAGGGTTGTCAAACACTGGAACAGGCTGCCCAGGGAAGCAGTGGAGTCGCTATCACAGGAGGGATTTAAAAGCCGGGCAGACGTGGTGCTGAGGGACATGGGTTAGTGGTAACTTGGCAGTGCTGGGTTAACAGATGGACTCGATGACCTTAAAGGTCTTTTCCAACCTAAATGATTCTATGATTTTACAATTGTAAGTGAAGTTAACCATGTGGCACATTTAGAAAAAATAAAGGAGGGTTTTTTTCACACTCTCTGCCGTATGATACCATGAAAACAGCATGGAATCAAAAGGTGACTGGAGACATTACTAGAAAGAAGAATCTTAGGAGCTACGTTGTAGAGAGATGCCACCTCTAGGACAGGAAGTACCTGACCAGTCATTGGAACCTGGAAGGGTTACGGGGAAAAGTATCATTTCACATGTGCCTTGTTCCTAGGGGTTTGCTTCTGCAATTTGGGAGCTACAAGTACTGGGCTAACTGGATCATCATAGAATCATGGACTGGTTTCTGTTGGAAGGGATCTTAAAGACCATCCAATGACACCTCCCACCAGACCAGGTTGCTCCAAGCCCCCTCCAACCTGCCCTTGAACCCCTCCAGGGATGGGGCAGCCACAGCTTCTCTGGGCAACCTGGGCCAGGCTCTCCCCACCCTCACACCAAACAAGTTCTTCCCCACATCTCAGCTCCATCTTTCCTCTTTCAGTTTGAAGCCATTACCCCTCATCCTATATCAGATCCTATCATCAGATGTTTGGTCTGATCCAGCATGGATGAGATGTAACAACTGGCACTGACATTAACATTAATTTTCATTCTGATTTGCTGTCTCTGTGGGGTCATTTCACTGTCCACAATACATCTTGTCCAGCTGTGGGCTGGCTGATCCGCTTTTGGAAAGCAGGATCCATTTTTGGAAAGCTTGCTTGGCAGCCAAAGAGAATTAAGAGGTTCATTGATATTTCAATGGAAATACTTAGCTCCTAGTGCGCAAAAAGCAACTTGTTTAGAAAAAAAGGTGACATAAAAGCACCTGCATTGGCTGAGAGCACTGGTCTGGCAAGCTCAGTTTTATCGATAATTTAATAGCACAGGTTCCTGCAGCACTAGAGTGTTTTTACCTTTCTCTGGTAAAACTGACCATTTTTTGCCACCCCATTATTTAACTGATTATTTAGCCATGTTGAACCTTTTATCGTGTGGTAATACAATTTCTTTGAGAGGCTTTGCTGAAAGACTCTGTGAAATACCTTTGGACAACCAAGTGGCCTGCAAAAGGCTTTCTTCCTTTTCTGCCTGCTTCCAGGCAACCTCCAGAAATGTCACCAGACTAGAGAGCCAGGACTTCCCTTTACAAAAGCTGTTGATTTGTCTGCAGTAGGACCACTTTGTTCCCGTGTTTGTTCCTCATGTTCTCCAGAATTGTTTCTTTGGATGTCTGTGGTAAAAGTATCAGGGTCAGCACTCTGGAGTTCCTTATATCTCTTTTGGACTTTTTTTAAAGAATTAATATCATGTTTCCCATCTTCCTCCTCTCCATAGGCAGGTTTAAGTCTGGGCTGGGACCTCATATTAGTAGTCCAGCTGTTTCAGGTTGGAGCTCCAAGCTCTTGGGCCAATGTTTTCTTGTCCCATGGCTTTGGTGGGATTCCTGGTATCTTATTTAATCTGTCACCATGCAGCTAAGAATGTCCTTCCCTTCAAAGACTCATCCCTGATGGATCCTGAGAGGCCCAGCCCTCGGGAGGCTGTCCCTGGGAAGGTTTGCTGTTGGGAATCCCTCCCTGGAGAGCAGAGCAAGAATGATCCTGGCAGGATTCTTCATCTCTGCTGCACTCCTGGATATGCTGTTGCTGGAGAGGCTGATCTGACCAGGTTTTCAAGTGCTTGAAACCTTGAGAGGGACTCACATCTTCGTTGTGTGTTGTTACAGTCTCGTAAGATCTCTAAGCTTTTTAGCTCTTGCTGTGAGGAATCTGAGTAGGAGTCATCTGAGATGAGATCAGCTGGTGTGGTTAATTATGGGAGGAGGAACGGTGTAGGTCCTTATTTCTGATAAAGCAGGAGGACTCAGCGTCGTTCTTGCGAGGATCTAAGTGGTCCCATGCAGAAGGAGAACTTTACGTAGAGAAGTGTGCAGTCACATTCTGTTTTGAAGAAGAAAAGCCACAGACGTTACATGGCTCTCTACCACCCCTATGACCGTTCCAGGTGAGAGAAGCACCCCTAGATGCAGCACAGAGATTTGAGCTGTGATCTGAGCGCTTCTGCTCACAAGATGTTTCAGCCATGGCTTCGAAGCGGTTGAAACCTATTCCTTTGGAGAACCTGGGATTTGTGTTGTCTGCATGAACGTGTCGCATAGGTCACAGCAGAGTGTGACACGTTCCCCCAGGACTTCAGGAGAGGTCCCCCTGGGACGCGGACAAGCTGCTGAGTGTTTGAGAATGTGCAGCACTGAGACACAGAACTGATAAGTCATTAATGAAAATTAGCCTGGCGGCGTGACCAGTGTGTAACACTGCTGTGTGCCCACGTAGGGACGTGTCCTGTGGTGCCACGGGCGTAGGGAGGAGCTCAGTTTTTGTGCAGCTTTGTAGAGCATTTAAATCTTTGCAGCCTCTGGCTACTGAATTACACTGAGGCAAGAATTGGCTTTTCCCCTCTGTTCCTGCCAGCCCCGATCTGTGTGTGTCAGCCGGGCTGAGCCAGGGCGACCCGGCTGCCACGCGTGGCACAGAGGGACCACTTCATCACCGTGTCTTCTACCAACAGTGGTCAGAAACACTTGTTTTTAAAAGAAGTTTTAAAAGTGACGCACCTGCTTACAGTGCTATGCCTGAAAATTACTGCTAACTCCTAAAATACTTCTTTCTTGTTCGGAAAGTAGCTGAGGGGAATGCATGTTTTGAACTGTGACTTGGTCGGATCAGTACCAGCTTTGTCCTGAGGAGCCTGTGTTGAGATTCATCACTAGAAGCTTTGAAATCCTGTGCTGGCTTTTTAGATTTTGTTAAAATCCAGTCAGCATTAACATTTACCCACCGTATCCTGAGAAGGCACAAATGGCTTAGAAATGGTCTGCTCAGAAAGACATTTTTATTGGGTTTGTTTTCTGATAGTGATACTGCGTCCCCTTCCCCACAACCTGAAAATACAACCTAAAATTTGTGTTAATGCTTGTAAAATCAATGCTGACAGTCTACTCTTTGTAAATCAGCAGATAAAAGATACATGTAGAATTCATAAGGAGATTCAACTGCCAAAGACATAATTGCTGGCAAAATAAACGATGGAAGAAATTCATGACCAGAATCTTCTTTTTGAGATCTGCTTGAAAGCCATGAGCCTCTCTGAGCTTCAGATTTTACATCTCTGTACTGAGCTCTTACAAGTGACCCTTGGGCAGCAGTAATTAAATAAATACTGTGTATGCATTGGGACTCTTCTTCTTCTTCTTTCTTTTTTTTTTCCTTAAGGTGAATTTAGAGTCTCCCTTCTGTTTGCTGAGGACCAGATACCTATCTAGTAAATTTATACTGTCTGGACCCAGAAATAGGACCTTGGTTCTGGGCTAAGCAAGCTGACTTTGGTCACTGAAATTGCAATTTCTGTTGTGTTGATGTTCTTTCTCCGGTGTGATTACCCTGTTTTACCAATGCCTCTTCAACTCTTTGTTTTTTCTTGTTTTCTAGTATGGTTTCATCCTATTTGGTTCATCACGGGTACTGTTCAACAGCAACTGCCTTTGCCAGAGTCACAGACACCACAATCCAGGAAGAACAGACCTCAATAAAGAACAGACAAAGTAAGTCCCCTGGGTGGTTGTTCTCAATGGGTGTATCATGCTGGCCGTGTGTCTCCTTCGGGACCCTGCAGAGGAATGACGTACTATGGAAGTAGAAAAGCTATTCCCCAACAGCAGAAAGCTGTCCACAGCACACCCCTGACTTAGTGTTGCTGCCTGTGGCTCAGTGGAGCTCGGGGGCTGCTTCTTGGTGCACTTTTCCTATCACCACTATCCCCTTTGCCTGAAGAAGTGCCCCTGTTCCTTCCATTGTCTCTGCGCTCTGGGAAATGACCTGCATGGGCTGAAGAGAGTGAGTTTTCTGATGAACTTGGTTAATTTTCCTCAGTCTTGTTGAAAATGAATAGGTGAGTCTTGGAAGAGATGAGGTGACTCTCAGCTTGGACACCAGCAGTTTCACACATCAGGCTACACACAATACCTAGGGCAGAAGGTGCTTTCTTGGAGGTAGCACCAAATTGGTGGAGAATAGAATTATTACCTTGGACTTTACCTGAACAGAGGTCACTGTGTACCAGCATCCCTTTGGATTTGGGTTCTTCTATGTAGTCTGTTGCATCAGAGGCAGTTCCATTTGCATGGTCCTAGGGACCCAGACATATCAATCTATTTTGACTACAGCTCCCAGAACTTAATGAGTCTTCCAATACCTTTGCGCATTTTGTCTTTAGGTAAATTTTTTGCATACTAAGGGATTTGCAGATTCACAGCCAGCGTGTTTAGCTCACACTAGGTGAAGAATTTGTATTCTGTGTCTCTTTTGGTTGCTGCTGCTTCCAACTGTCCATCTCTCAGTCAGTAAGACTGTGCATGCTTTTGGTTTCTGCAGAATACAGCTTGCAGCTTTCTCCTGCTGTCCTGTTTTTTTAGCTTTTCTATTCACGGGCTCAGACTGCAGAGCCACAGAACATTGGTGCATTTTCCATATTCTCCTGGCTGTTGAATACAGGCTACGTCCCTCTCCGTACCTTTCCCTTCCCTTCGTGAACCATTTATCTTGTGACTGTTACGCATGGGGAGCATCATGCCCCGTTGTAGCACACTCTCCATACATCACACACGCTTAGCCAGCATTCGGGTTCATTTGGGGACTCTGCTTAATCCCCAAAATAACTTCTAGCTGCTGCCTGATGGGCTTTGTGCTTTCCAGGTCATGCATTAGGCAGCTGGTGTTCTTGCTGGTGTGGGTTTAGCTGGAGGCACGCGAGAGAGCGAGTCCCGTTTGCCTGGGGACGGGTGACAAGGCAGATGGGAGGGAAGGAACGCAGAGCTCTGAAGTTGGGGCTTAAAGAAAAGGTGTGAGGAAAACACATATGGGAAAACAAAAAGAGACAGAAATAGAAAAGGCAGCGACATCTGTGAGAGTTGCCAAACAAGGCAAAGGGGAGACCTGTCAGAAGCAGCGAGACATGAAAAAGGCTGGGCAAGTAAGTTGAAAAAAACAGTGTGAAATGAAGGAGATTGTGCAACACACATGGGTGTGAGCACCCCCTCTTTGGGTTGAGCTTTTATCTAGGGTTAACAAGAAGTGGGAGCCAAGACATTGCAGATTGTTACTGGGGTTGCTAATGAGGGTTTCTGGGCTGGGCTTCCAACTGCTCGTGGCTTGTGAAAGTCCCAACCTGTTGTTATGAGAGTCTCTGCTGCAAAGCAACTCACAGGCAATTCAACACCTTCTCTCTGTTTTTTTGTAAGGAATCCTGGAAAAACACAGAGGGAAGTACAATCCATTTGTGGTTTTAAGTCCACTTAGTTTTTAGTTTTTAAGTACACTTAGAAAAAAAATAAGCTGTGACCCTCTGTAGATCAGTAGCTTCTTGGAGTGTTCAGGGGTGGGATCTCAAGTACTGCACTTGTGTTTTCTGACCCGCTGAAGGAGCATACATGGGAGGTGAACACCCAGGATGATAGGTGGCTTCTGCCTTGTATCTTTGCACCTCCTCAGAGTGTATAACTTGTTGGCCTGTTTCTGGCTTGGTCAGTAGCTGATTCTTGGAGCCAGCTTACGGGTGCCACATCCTCATTGCAGGGCAAGCCCACCTTGCTTCTCTAAGAATACACTGAGGTGGGTCTTGCAAGAATCCGATTTTGTTGGGATAATTACTTCTACTTAGAGGTAGGGCTGACACTACTGTGCTGTGGTTGAAGCCCACAGATGCCCTGAGAATACTTAGCTGATGCTCGGTCGTATGACATACACTTCCACTGTGAACTACCCAGAATATGTAACCTGGGGGTGACCCAGAGGCTTCCCCTCTGAAATTGTGATTTACCCAGCAGCCTCCTTGCTCCCGTCCAGTTGTCGTCTCCTGCTTTCTTTTCCGCTGCTGCATAGCTCTGTGGTTAAAGGACTAAAGTCCCAGAGAGTCCTCCCCACTGCACCCATTTAATCTTTCAGATCCTTATATTCTTGGTGTTTCTGAGCTACTAACAGATTCTTCCTCAATTTTCTCAGACTTTTCTTCATCCCAATCCATAGTAAACAGAATCACAGAATGGTTTGGGTTGGAAGGGACCTTAAAGCCTCCCCAGTGCCACCCCCTGCCCTGGGCAGGGACACCTCCCACCAGACCACGTTGCTCCAAGCCCCCTCCAACCTGCCCTTGAACCCCTCCAGGGATGGGGCAGCTACAGCTTCTCTGGGCAACCTGGGCCAGGCTCTCCCCGCTCTCACACCAAACAAGTTCTTCCTGAAATCTCATCTCAATCTCCCCTCTTCCAGTTTAAAGCCATTACCCCTCGTCCCATCACTACATGCTCCTGTAAAAGTCCCTCCCCAGCTTTCTTGTGGCACCCTTCAGATACTGGAAGGGACTCTAAGGTCTCCCTGGAGCCTTCTTCAAATATGGTCCCCAGTTCTTCCTAGCCCTTGTGTAAGGTAGCAGTGGAAGCTGTGTGACATGTATGAGAAAACTCTCCTGATCGTTCTTGTTGGCTGGTCCTGTGTGTCAATAGTTGTCCTTTTGCTTTCAGGAATACAGAAGCTAGTATTAGCAGGCAGAGTGGGAGAGGCTATAGAAGCCACCCAGCAGCTCTATCCTGGCCTCCTAGAACATAACCCCAACCTGCTCTTCATGTTAAAGTAAGTATGAATAGCTCTATACTCCCTAATGCTGAAATGTGTGGATGAAGGAGGGAAGAAAGAGGCCATCCAGGCTGGCTGCACACCTTGGTCTGAACTCAGACTGTCTGATATCCCTTTGGGAGCTGGTGGGAGAGGACATAGTCCTTTGCACAGTACTTGTAGCAATGTGGGCATAGTTGAGACCTGGTATGGCTTTGCCTCATGTGGTCAAGCAGAGGTGGGTGAAATTTTAGCTCTGCTGACTCACAGAAGTTCCTTCACAGATAGCCTTAATTGTCTTGTGGAGATCTTCCCACACTGGGCAGGTGGCAGTCACTGAAGGTTCCTAGAAAGGCAGATGTATGGAAAAGGCTATCTGGGGAAAAAGTGCCCGTGTGTCCCAGTTCCCCCAGCCATACCAAGTGGCTCCCACCAACCCCCTGAGATGTTTGAGGACAGTTCCCAGTAAAGCCAAATGGGCAGCCATCCTCACTGTCCTGTCACTGTGGATATTGTATTTTTTACCTTTCCTTGTCTATTTGCCATTGGCCACCAGCATGTCTAGGTTGTTGGAGTAGTGGGGGATCTATGATGTTTGGTAGATTTTTCAGTCCCTGAAAAAAAAACCACATTTGAGTTGTGGAGTTCCTACAGAGATAGTGGAGATGAAAGCATGCTGTAAAGGGATGGTTTCTTCTTAACACAATAGAAATAAACTTGCTTTTGGGGAGTGTCTCAACGTTCATTAGCACCAAAGCTGTGGTCTCTGAACTACTTCCTCCCATAGCATTATCAGAGCACTCACAACACAGAGGTACCAGGAGTCTGAAATATCTTTTTCGAAGGCAGGAAATGTAACTCCTGTGCGGTTCCTAGGACTTCTCCACTCAGGAACCAAGGGAACCTCAATGCAGAGCATCCTGGCTGTCACGCACCCTTTTCTCCTTCTTCCCTCCTATGAAACCAGGTGTCGGCAGTTTGTGGAGATGGTGAATGGGACAGACAGTGAAGTACGTTGTTTCAGTGCCCGCAGCCCCAGATCCCAGGACAGTTACCCCGGGTCCCCCAGCTTAAGTCCTAGACATGGATCAAGTAACTCACACATTCATAGTACCGGTAAGTGCGTTTTCTGTGTCTCCTGGTGAGAAGAGCAAACGTTAAAGATCAGCTGTTGTTCATTACCTGCTATTTTCTGCATGTCATTCTATGAAATGCATCTTTTCCTTCTGACACCCAGCTGAGAGGACATACTGTTGTCACGGGTGTCTCTACTGTTACAAAATTGGTTTTGCATTAGTTATTTTCCGCAGACATTTGTCTGCAGAGCAGATCTTTTTCAGAATAAAGAAGCTTTTGAAGCTTTTAGTGTAGGCACTAGTGACTCAGTATTTCACTGACCAAGCTGTAAGATGAGGTCTGGAAATCCTGTGTTCTCACGGTTTTTGTGAATAGAGGGTTTCTGAGAAATATTTGGGTTTGTGAGAAGAGAGTTTGTAAACTTATTTACAAACCATCCCTGCTTCATATTTCAACAATAATTTCTGTGCTTGTGTGAGCTGTTTCTGCAGATCTCTTATTTACAACCTATTTATGGAATTTCCTTAAGCTCAGATGTTGCTGGTAAGCAGTGGGGTTCCTTCCATATTCATTTGTGTTTTCTCTAAACACCATGGAATTTAGGAATGATGAGTAATAATTTAAGATCTGCAGTCTTATTTTGCTCTCTTCTTTTGGGGTCTGTTCTCTTGCTAAATTGTTGACTTCACAATAGAGCGATACTGTCAGTCTGATCTCAGTTTTCCCCTTCTTCTTGACTTTCAGGAGCAGATAGTCCAACCTGTAGCAATGGAGTCATGTCCACAAAAAGCAAACAGAGTCACAGTAAATACCCGACACTGACTTCATCATCTTCATCTTCCTCCTCCTCCTCCCCCTCATCTGTGAACTACTCTGAGTCCAATTCTACAGATTCTACCAAATCTCAGCAGCACAGTAGTACGAGTAACCAAGAAACCAGGTATTTTTTTTTCCTTTGTAGATGCCTGAGGAGGGTGAGATAGTGGGAGAGGGTAAATCTTCGAGCAAATCTTTGTAATCTACAAGGTCACTGCTGTTCCCAGCAGACACAAGCCTGTTCCAGTTCCCCTGCTCTGGCTCAGGCTTGGAGGCTCATCTCATAAGGAATATTGTGATGCTCTTGTTTCAAGCACCGAGCTGTCCCATTAAACTGATGCCATCAGAGTCCAATGTACCAATTTGCACAGAAGTTCTCCCGTGGAGAATTACTGCTGCTGAGCAGCCTCCCGTGGGTGAGGGAGCAGCTCCAGTGCTTACTGCGTTGGTGCATTGTCCTCTTGACTATTTTTCTTGGGCTACCTCTACCTGTTGCCCAGTTCCTTATAGATGACCTTCTGAATCAGCAGTTTGTACTTGTGACAGCAGGTCAGACCTTAGAAAACCTCCGTTCTCCCAGGAGAAGTCCATTTACCGGAGTGTGGAGTGTATTGAGCCATGGTGAGAACTTCCTTTGGGCTCACTTTCCCAGTTGGTGTTGCAGGGCTGTCCGAGGCCCTGCTCAAGTGGAGGATATCCTTCTGATTAGTAGAATCTCTCGCTAATTGCAGTTGGCACTCATCCTCTGAGGACTGTGCCAAGCACAGTTTGCAGGACAGTTTGTAGTCTCTATCGTGACCTCTTGAGACCTTACAGGATGTAACTGAGCAAGAAACACTTGTTCAGACTCAATTTACCAGAATCCTGTGGTACTGCTGGATTTATGGTTTATTTAAAATGTAGAGCCCCAGTCCCAGCAAGATTTTCTCATCATATCAGTTAATCAGCAGTTAATCAGCAACCTTATTCAGACTGCTGTCATGAACATTTAAGCCTGGAGCCGTTATGTTCTGTATTGCACTTTTTGCAGGTGTTGATGGTTTATCGCAGCCAAGATTTCCCTCCTGTTCAGTGTGGTATCTGCTGTCTCACTGCTGTTTGCTGTTGCAGAGATGAACTGCTTCCTGAAGGGAAAATGATAAGCCCTCTGCACCTATAATTATGATAGGCACTTTCAGAACAGAAACCTGTTCCATAAGTTGCCTTCACAAGCCTGTAACAATTGTTGCTATACTGAATTAGACCATCTGGCTCCCTGTAGCCCATCTGGCACCTTTCCTGGTTTACTGGCCATTGCTGGGCATCATTTGGCACCTGAGCTCTTTGTTTCTTCCCTTTTGAATTTAGACATCTGACCTTTCTTTCCATCTTTTGCCTCAGTGACAGCGAGATGGAAATGGAGGCTGAGCACTACCCCAACGGAGTCCTGGAAAATTCATCCACCAGGATAATGAACGGCACCTACAAACATGAAGAGATCCTGCAGACAGATGAATCCAGCATGGGTAGGGCCTCAGAGGCAGGAGGGGTAAAGGGAAATAGAAAGAGCTGGTACAAGAGTTAAAATTGGGATTGGATAGCAGGGAAAAAACACGTACTTTGGGTTTCTTTCCCCACCCCAGTGAATGAAGTTCTCAGGATGCCCGTTTCACAGGGAAAATGAATCTGTCCTGAAACCAAAACCAGATCTAGCTTTTCATAGTCTCGCAGAGGTGCTGGGGATATTGTGGGGCAGAGGAAGCAGTAGGAGTTAAAGATTTGTTCAGTGCTGGTCATGGATTCCAGCTCAGAGCCATCCTGGCGGTTCTTCCAGCTGGGGGACTGAACGGAGCTGGAAGGGCTGGCTGATGCCCAACCACCAAGTGTCTTCAGCACAGCGTGGTCCGCTACAACTGTCTTGTTTGTGGATGCTTTAGCCAGGAGGGAGGGGGTTAATCAGCCACACTACCTCTGAAACTGGGGATTCCTCCGGTTCTAATGGGTGTTGTGGCCACTGAAGACTGGGAAGTTGGTGGTTGTTGGCACCTCTGAACGTTTTCTGAGTCCAAGGTTTGTTAGGCCAGGGCTTTCCATGTTGTCTCACACGCATGAAAGGGTAACACGGCAGGAGGTGCGAGCTCCTGTGATTCTATCAGAATACTTGATTTGTAGGCAGTCATTTGTAGCCATTAAACAAACTGAGCTCAAGTTTTCCCTGTACCCGACAGATGCTATGAAAAAAAAACCCACTTCTGGCTGTTGTAGTGCAGGGGTCAGAAAAAAGCTTCCATTGGGATAAACTCAGAGCAGGGAGCAGCTCCCTCCTCCAGAAGGGGAAGGAGTTTCTGGGTGGCGTGACATGGAGCGGGCAGTGGTGGGGAATGGGAGATGATCGTTACTTCTCTGCTGCCTTTCCTCTAGAAGACAGTTGCCCCCAGAGGCAGCTCTGTGGGGGGAACCACGCTGCCACGGAGAGAATGATCCAGTTTGGCCGGGAGCTGCAGATGCTGAGCGAGCAGCTTTGCAGAGAGTACGGGAAGAACACAGTGCACAAAAAGATGCTTCAGGTAAGCCTCATGCTGCATCACAGCAGTTCTCTGGGCCAGAGCTGGGGCTGGGGGTTCTCTTGCAGAGCTCTGGGTGGCCCCCACTTCTGCACCCGGTGAGGAAGAGGGGGTCTGCATGGGGACCAGAGGTCAGAACTCAGTCAATGTGGAGCACCTAGAGCTAGTTCTCAGCAGAAGAGAGAAGAAATACAGCTCCTGCCTGCCTTCGCTCTTCTCTCCAGGTGACACTCTACCTGCCTTCGCATGTTGGTTCCCCTGCCAGGTGGAGGGGGCACCCTCTTTAATCCACTATCTTGATGGCCCGGTGTGGTCCTTTGCTGCCAAGAAGAAAAGGGCCGTTTCTTTTCAGGAGGTAGGCACCTGTCACCTTGGTGATGGCAGGAGGTGCCCAGACTGATGGAGTTGGAGGTTTTCCTGTGTGTTTGCAGCCATGCACGACCTTACCGTGCCTTTCTTTTCTCTCCTACAGGACGCATTTAGCTTGTTAGCTTACTCAGACCCTTGGAACTGCCCCGTCGGCCAACAGCTGGACCCAATCCAGAGGGAACCTGTGTGTGCTGCTCTTAATAGTGCTATATTGGGTAAGGCCTGGTTCCTGTGTGAGTGCTAACACTGGACATACCTGCTCTCGAGGGCTGTCCTGTGGTGGGCAAGCCTGTAAGTGTCAGAAAAAGTTCAGAAGTACTTGTTGTTTAGCTTTTGTCTTTCTTTCTGTTGCTGGGGACTGCCAGGACAGTGATGCAGGAAGGCAGGCAGTGGGGGAAGCCTGCAGAGAACAGATCCACCTGAACTAATCTTCTCTTGGCTCCCGTCCTTGGGTCTTCTTCCAAGGATGCTCCTCAGGATTTTCCTCCCCTGCTTACTGAGGGAGCTGAGATCTCTTCAATGTGTTTCCTGCCCCTCTTCTTGCTCCGAAGCCACCTGAATCACTTTGCTGGCATCAGCAGGGGTCTTTTCCCACGCTGTTTTGATTGGCAGAGTTTTGTCCTGGCATCACCCTGCTTTCTGGCAGGGAATGCAGTTGCTCTGTCACAGCAGCTCCTAAGTGCATCACAGCAGGTTTCCGTAACGTTGGCTCTAAAGCAGTGGGAGGACATAAATCCCGTTACCTTTGATCTCCTGTTGACCATGCAGAGTTAAATGGGTCTGTCTTCCCTTCAAGCATTCCCTCTGTGTGTTCCCATCATGTGCTGTGCACCCTAGAGCTCAGAGAGCCTGGCTGCCCACAGTCCAGTGTTGGGATCAGGACTGGTAATGGTCTGGTTCTGTTGCTCTTTCCCTTCTGGCCATAACTGCTGAGAGGACCCTGTTTGGTGCAGAAGTCTGGTTTTCTTCAGCTGGCAAGACAGCTCCCCTTTTTCTGGTGAGCTTCGCTCCTTGTGTCGGCAGGATGGATCATGGTTGGATCCAGGTTTGAGCAGTCTCTCACCCTCTGCTGTGTCCTCAGAGCTGAATGTGCCTGTTCTTCCATTTTCCTTAGACAAGAATGTTCCTTGGCCCAACAGCTTGTGGTCGTTCACTCTCTTACCTTCATGCTGGTATAGTAAATGCAGTAGCTTTCCCTGATGGAAGTCTTAGCTTGCAATCAATGACTTGCCACGTCGTTGCTGATCCTCTTGGCATCTTTAGGTACAGACAATCCCATGGTGGAGAAGTGAGTACAGTGATAATGAGGTTATGGCCTGCGAGCAGTCTGCAAGAAAGGATTTGTTTGATCCTAGGCAGGGCCCTTGGTCCTGTCACCAGACCCTGCATGTGCTGTATCATTGCTCAGGTAGCTTCACAGGACACTCCCCAGTCTGGGTTAGCTCAGCCCATCCACAGCCAGTCAAACTGTCCTCTGGACGGCTTATGTGTCTCAGGAACCCAGGCTTGGCTCCTGTGCCCAGTCGGATTTCCTACTGGGTCTGTGCATCTCACATGGAGTGTGCCAGAAGAGATTGTCTTCTGGTGGAACAACAGCTTGATGGACAAAGCCATGAGAGCTCCTGTTCTGTCTGAGTAAAGGAACAGAAATGACATGGTTTGGGAAGGAGAGTCCCTTCTCCTGACAGTCAGCATGGGCAGGTGTCCAGCAGGGTGGCTCACTTCTAGCCGTTGTTTGTCCAGTGTTTGAGGAACATGGAAAAGTTGATGAGGGGTGTCACCAGGGAGACAAAAAAGATGTCTGGACGTGCCTCGTGACACAAGTCACGACACCTGGTCGAGCTCAGCTGAGGATTCCTTCTTGCATACACAGCAAACGTGAAGTTGAAAAGAAGCAGTGACCAGTGAGTGAGTTTGTCTGAGGCTTGGGCTACTGTGTGGACTTGGACAAGTGGGAGAGATGGAGAGTTTGCCTCTCACTTGGTGCCAGTTTCTCCTGCCTTTCCTTATTCTTCCATGCTTTGATCTGTCATGCTTTGAGGGTTTTCTGGAAGACACTGAGGGAGCAGGAGCTCCACTGACTTTTTCTTGCTCTGGCCACCACAGTAGCACTTTCTCAAAGGTCCCGTTGAGCTGTGGCCCCGTGTGGGATGTGTCATGGGTGGTGGGATTTGTGGAGGAGCAAGGAGTAGCTTCCTTCCAGAGCCAGCGTCTTCTGCCAGAGCTGCTGGGCTTGGTGACCAGGTGGGACTGAGAGGGACCCAAGTGGTGGTGAGCCGGCACATGGCCAGAATGCCTCTTCTAAACAGATTTCTTTTTTTGCCCCCACAGAATCTCAGAACCTGCCAAAGCAGCCCCCGCTGATGCTTGCCCTGGGCCAGGCCTCGGAGTGTTTGCGGCTCATGGCTCGCGTGGGCTTGGGCTCCTGCTCCTTTGCCAGAGTAGACGACTATTTGCACTAGCCACCAGAGCAAGATGGAGTTGACATCGTTGAGTGCTGCCCTTCACCCTCCGTTGCTGCCACTACACCACCACCTCGTTCGATAGCCCACCCCCCTGCCACCAACACCCTTCTAGCACACACACACACGCTGCTCGGGACAGGAGGGAGCCGGTCCCTCCCTGCGTGGCCGTTCCTGACCCCAGGAACCACTGGCAGATCCTACCTGTCTCCCTGCCGTTGCTGCAGCTCCAGTGGCACTCAGTATTTCGCTGGTTAATTCTAATGTAGCGCCTTCCGATGTAGGGGTTTCTCTTTATTTTGATTTGAGTTGTTTCTCAATGGATCCACCAGTATTTTATCTGGAGAGTTCTGCTGAGCTGGTTTCTGCTGATTTACTGAGGAATCTCATCAAGTTGGTAACAGCTTGTTCTTTCCTTCCCTTCTCCCTCCATCATGCACATACAGCATCATCTTCTGTGCTAGTTATCTGAACTCTTCTTGCAGTGGCAGTTCAGAGGGATTTTTTTTTTAATTTTATTGGAATCCTGTTTATTAAAAAGGTCTCTTCCACCTCCACAAAGTCATCGATGTATTTATTGCCCACAGGCTCGATCCCAGCCATACACATCGTGCAGCCCTGCAGGGAACCTGGTGAGGTAGGTCCAGTCATGCGCTAACGATGGGAATTGGAGGAGCTTGGTCCTTCCTGGTGCTTGTCTCTTGAAGAGCACAAGGCTCTCAAACGCTTATCTTTGTGAGTGGGAAGACTTGACATTGCCTGTGTTAGTGGCTGCAGTGTAAAAGCATCTCACAGCCCCGAGAAATAGGTAAATCCAGCTCTCACAGCAGCTAGAGGGACAGGACTGAGGGATAGGAAGTCATCTACCTCCAACTTGGTAGAAGCAGGTCGTGTCAGCCCGCAAGGAACATCCGTGGGTGCTGCCTGTTGGGCTGTCAGTTTTTGTGTTAAATCACAAATCCCCCTTTTTTCTCCATATAGGAGGGCTCTGTCACTAAGACTCATTAATAGCAGTATTTTACTGACCCCTCCAACGTCACACTGATCTCAGTGAGCACTTCTGAAGCGTGGAAGTGTCTGGAGAACGCTAGTGTGAGGTGTGCTCACCCTGGTAGGGTGCACATCGTGCTGAGGTGAGGTTGTGGATTAGGGTCAGTACTACCTTTGTAATGTCCAAGCCAGTCAGAAGGGAGCAGCAACGTGTTTTTAAGGATGACTAAGAAAATTATTTTAATTTCAGGCCCAAAAGCAAGCAGCAAGGGTCTGTGGGTGAGTAACCTCCACGTAAGATGGATTAATGTGTCCTCCTGCAGAGTGTATCAGGCCCAGGGACTCGAGCGCTGCTAAGCTTTTGGCATTCAAACCATCTGCTGATGAGTGTCTCCCACCATCTATCTTTAACCAGCGAGGCTGTGCAGCAGCACCGTGTGCTCTGCATCCTCTGCTGGACCCTGGGGAGACTTCAGGTTCGGTCTGGCTGCACAGGAGGTATTATAATTCTGCACCAAATGAATTGTAGATCAGTAGCTCTGAGCAGACCCCAGGAGAGCTCAGCCCCAACGTGGATTTTACTGCTGTTCATCAATAGTGGTTGTTGGTTGGTTTTTTTTTTTGGAAGTCGCAATGAAAGTTGAAGAGATTGTGTTGAAGTTTGCCCTGAAATTGGAGGTTAGCCTATGCCAGGGCTTCAAGCAGCAGGAGAGCTTGTGTGCCACTGAAGAAAGGAAGGTGATGTGTGACCTCTGTGCCCAGAGCTTGACCTCAAGCCCAGAGCTTGAAGGATTTCCTGCATTTTCAGGCTTGGTTTGCAGCTGAAAGGTGAGGTCTGAAATCAAGGCAGGGCCCAGGGGGGCAGCTGTCCCCTGCGCTGCAGAAGTGGCAGTGAACGTGCAGTTGGTGCTGGAGGTGGCTGGGAACGCCTGTCACTGCCTTTTGGTGAAGGTGCCAGAGCTGTGGGGGCCTAAAACAGGCAACATGAGGTTTAGAGATGGAGGAGATACTTTTATTACATCAACTCGTAGAGTTGAAAAAAGCAGGGGGAGCTCTGTGTACTGAAATCTTTCTTCTTGGCCCGCAGAAGCGGAGGTCTGCACTAAGCAGAAGAATTTAACTTGCAAATCTGGGGCTTGTTTTTCAGTTCTGGGGAACAGCTCATGTGCCCTAGAGTGGAGTTTCAACTCTGCTCATGGTCCTAAGGATGGATATTACCCCAGGCCACAGTCCTTACTTCCCCGTGATTGCTGAGACGCTTTAACTCGGTGTTAAAAAAAAGTGTTGAAAGTGTTAGAACTTTAAACTTTAACACTTTAGCTAAACTTCCTTTTTGAAGCCTCTGATGCTGGACCTGCTAAGCCAAGCCTGACCGGTCATACCCAGTGCTGCTGCTGGACCTGTGGCAGCACATGGACTTGTCCTGGTGGGAGATTCTCCTGCAGGCTCTCCATTTCTTACACCCAGGCTTCTGGCACACTGCTGGGCTGGTGGTGGGGACTTGGGTTGGAAATATTCTGGCACCTGGTTTTGCCTTTCACATTTGGTGATCTCCTCTGCTGTTGGTCACCGTTGGTGCGGTCTGGCTGTAGTCAGACCTGTCATTCATCTTCATAGAAACACCATCTTTATCTCTTCCTGAGTTTTCTTCGTTCCTTCTCTTTGTGATTCCTTTAGGTCAAGTCTCTTTGTCCTGTGTCGTATTAACGCCCCACTTGGTCTCTCAGCAAAGCTGTGCTGACTATCCTGGAGCATTTTTTTGTTTTGGTTACCCCTTTGCTACAAACCCCCAAGAGATGCTCCTAGATACCTGGTTATTCTGATGCCCAGAAATGCATGATGGGATGGTCTCTCTAGCTTCTCATGAAGACTATCCCTCCGGTAGAAACCATCTTGCTGTTGTATCAAGGTTAGTGCTGAGAGGCCACACTCTTAATGATGATTAATTGCATGTGGCAGGGCTTCCTGCCCCGACAACATGCATCACATCATGGCAGTAGATCCCTGTAGACCAGACAGCAGTGGTGCTATCCACTTCTTGCACTTGCCAGCTCTTGTGTTCTGCTTCTGGTTTTTGGGGAGTGCAAAGGCTCTGCTGTGACATATCTGTCCCATACCCGTTTCACTAGTGGTTTCTGCAGGTTGTGCTCAGGTTCTGACTAACGTGGTCATGGCTCAGTGTGGGGAAGAGAAATGTGCTTGCTGTGTGGAGGTATGGACTTCAGCCTGCCCTGGTTCCTAGATGAGATTTCTGACCTGATTTTCCCAGGTTATTGGTCAAAGCCTCTTGGTCTTTGAGTGTTCCTCTTAGATGATTCATGTCAGGTAAGACTTGATTTGAATTGTTGCAGTCATTTTAAAAAAGGAACAGAACTAAATTTAATTGAGTCTTGAACGTTGAGTGTGGTGGTACATCTAACCAGAGGCTTCATGCAGTTTAAAAGTTACTTTTGTAAGAGTGATTTGCCTCATGCTTTGCTCAGAAACAGATGAGCTAAGAACATCCCAAACTGAGAGCCTGCATCACCTGGGCAGTCCCTCGCAGTGTCACTTCTTGGTGATGGTGACAAGGTCTCAGCTGTGGCCCTGCGTTGTGATGCTGACAGCATGGGATACAGGGCTTCCATCACACGAGGCTGACGTGGGCTGCTCTCTGCTGGCCTCACTTCAGATCCGAGAAGGTTTTCCAAACCACAGCCGGACACTGCTCCCAGGCAACGTTTCTCACTGTGCAGCCCCAGGAGAGGCTTTCTAGCTGTGGCATCCTGCCTGGGACCTCTGGAATGCTGCAGCTGTAACAACTAAACCTCTTTCCAGCTCTGCTGTGTCTATACAGCCACACAATCTGAGCTCTTAACTGCTCAGCCCAGCGTCACCACGAAAGAGGTGACAAGAGGTACCCTCCAGTTACGTACTCTGGACACCACCTGCCTTTCTCAAACTCGACAGAGCAGCAGGGGCTTCTCAGAAGGGTAGCATTTCACAGGGACTTGGTGGAAACCTGCTTTCAAGGGTGGTGAACTGGACATTGTGGGCTTTGGTTTTCAGCCCCAGTGCCCTTTGAAAACAGCATTTTGGGAACTTCAGACCTAGAGACTTAGTTAAAGTGTCCTTCAGTCCTGCAGAGAGAGCTTCGTGGAGCTGAATTCCATCACCAGGCTTTTCTCCACATGGACAAGGGTTCATCGTGTCCCCACAAGCAGTGAGTGAGAGCAGTCCCATAGACTGCTCTCTCTCACCTGGGAGAACTTTGGAGCGAGATGAGGGATTGACTTGGGAGTTGGAGGCATTGGAATAGCTGGAATAAGTGTTTTTGGGAGCTGTATCCACCTCATACACTTTGTACTCCAGCCTCTGACCATCTTAGTGGCCTCTGCTGGATATAGTGCAGTTTGTGAACATCTCTCCTGTACCAGGGAGCAAAGTCTTGTTCCTCTTGGTTCCTCTTGTTCCAGGTGATTCCTGTTGCTGCTTTACAATCCTGTCCTAGAGGGTGTTTAACAAAAGCTGATTGAAGACATACAGGGTTCAGAGAGCTCCAAGTCAAGGTCTTCTGTGATCATGGAGGGCAGCAGGCTATTTTCCATGCATCCTTAGGTGCGCGCTCAGAGCCTTGGAAAAAGAGCTACCAGGTCTCTTCTTGTTTCTTTGCTTCCCCCAGTCCCCAGTGTTCTCCCATCTGTGTGACCACCAGAACTGGTATCTGCAGTGTTTGACGCTGTGGGAGCTGCTTTGAGACCAGGGTCAGCTCCATGGCCCGTGCCAGCAACGCGTTTGTCGAGCATGGACATGGCAACTCCAACTGCTTCTCCTGGGCTTGCTTCTGCTGCACTGGCCTAACGGGGCGAGATCTGCATGGGATGATCCCTTTTTGTCACCGTACAGGATCCCATCAGCCCACAACTGGGCTGGCTGTAGCACTTCTGCCATTCTTTTGGAGTCTGGTTAGAAACTGAGGCTTTGCTTGTGGCCAGTGGAATGGAGGGGGACCTCCAGAATGAAGCACCGGGAACGCGGCATCCAGCTGTTGGGGGGAGGTTGTCCACTGGCTGCTCTCCCTCCCCTCCAGCCCCCCACATGGAAGGTGTGTGGTTATTGGTGCTGGGAGTCTGTTTCTATTTCCAGCATCCTGGTGGTACTCACTGTGCCACCAGGGGACTTGGGCACCCGGAGGTGCAGCTGTGACTGATGTGGAGAATGACCCCCTTTGGGAGTATCGTTCCTCGTGGTTGTGTACACCCAGGATTTTCCCATCTGCTTCCTTCTTTTTTCTGGTTTCTTACAGTGACATCTCAACCTGTCCTCAAAGCCTCAAACCTGTCCTTATTTTTCACATGGTCTTATTAAGGCATCTTTACCATCCTTTAAATAGCTTTGTTCTTGAGGCTCCCTTGAGCAACTGGCACAGGCAGAGCTGCTGTAACCTCCTTAGGCATCAGGATGATGAACTGTCTCCTTGGTGGTTTGCTGTGATATTGCTGTGTTTGGTACCAGTCTTTCTTACTGCTCACGTGTCGCTTAGGTGCAAGTTTCAGAGTTCCTTCTGGCATCACGGGGTTGATTGAGAAGGTGAACCGTGGTAGCCAGCCTTATAGCAGTGGGTAAGTGCCATGAAGCTGCATGGTGTGCAACGTGGTATGAGGAAGTTCTTTCCATGAAGAAGCAGTGTGGTCCATCACGCTTCAGTCTTGGGCACGGTGAGACCCCGTGGAACTGGTCACAGCATGAGAGAAGGAACATGTTCCTTGGCAAGGTGGTCCTGGTCCACCCAGGAGTCCCCGTTGCAGAAGGAGTGACTTGCTGGTGTTAGAGCAGCCTGAGTGGTGGATCCAGGGGGAAGTAAGTCTCTTGTAGAGAGCTGGTGGTGCATCTGCAGCTGTACATCGCTGTCCCTAGGTATTTCTGCAAAAGGGCTGGATGGAGACATGACAGAGACATGACATGTTCTGTGTACTGCTGGGACCCTTTAGCCCCAGAAGAATTAGCAATGGAGGGAACTGTAGTCCAGCAGCTCTTACTAAGAGCCAAAAGCTGGCTGTAAGCCGTGTCCCATCTTCTGTCTAGATCAGAGAGCTGGAGGAAGTGTTGGTGGGGTGAGTGTTGGGGGAGCTACAGCAGATTTGGGGAGGAAAAGGGAGCAGTTGAGAGCCTGGAAACCTCTTCCAGAGGAAGCACAAGCTGCTCTCCACTGCTCATCCCTGCAACAAGAGGTGGCAGGTGATGGATGAGCAAAATGTGGCGTGTCTGTCCCTCTCCCTGCATCCCACACCAGAGCTCAGATACAGCCTTGAGCTGTAGCAGCACGGGGCAAGCCAAGGGTTCATCCAGGCTTGAGGAGCACATCTCCTGCCAGCTCTTTTATTTCCAAGAGGGAGGCTTAACTCTTGCAGGGAGCTGAGTCCCGTGTGGGATTTATACTCGCACCACTGCAGAAACATTCCTGGAGGCCACATAGACCTCTCTGCTCCTTGTTGAACTTCCTCTGGCCAGGCAGACGCCTTTTCTCTGGTCGCTTCACTTGGGTCTGGGCTCATGCTCTGACCCCTGCGCTTGGGAGGGCTTCAGCTCCATCCCTGCTCCAGGAGGGACCACAAGGGGGTTTGCAGGCTGGGCTTCTCACAAGCTTTAACTTGGAGGAAGGAGAAGCAGCAGTAGCAGCTTTGGGGATAACAAAGATTTAAAAGAAAATTTTCAAAAGACAAGTGTGGTGACTATTCCAGACCAAGGACTCTGCACAGGCATCTGATGGGGATTGTTTCCCTCGGTCCTACCTGTGCGTACTCTTCACGGCTCTCCAGCCCGGGGGGGCAGGAGGAGGAGGCTGCCAGCACCTGAAGCTCTTGCACGCGACACGTTGGGCGGTGCGAGCCCCAGGACCTGCCCACCACCCAGTTGACTCTCCTCTGGTGGTTGCTCAAAACTCAGGTATGAAACGCTCAGCCAGAGCCTGGGGTGCGAGGTCTTTGCAGGTTCCCCATCAGCCCTGGAGGAACGGCCACCGTGGGGCTGCGACAGAGCAGATGTCTCCTCTGCCCCTCCAAGACTTCTCGTCACCTTTGGACAAGGCGGGAGGGTTTCTCTTTGGTACAACATCGGCTAAATGGACATTACACAAATCGTGCACATTGGTTCAGTCTAAGCTTAGTATTTGTGAATTTAAGTTATCTGACGCTTCGCATGAAAACTTCAAAAAAGGGGAGGGGGGGATTTTAACTGAGAAAAAGCCTATGAAAATATACTGGAAATATGGTAAAGAAATTGACGTTCTGCTGTATATTGACAGAATTATTTTTATTAAAATACACATCCATGTGCGAGAGCTCCTGTGGAGCCGTGTGCTGTGTCAGTCTCCGGGGAAGGCGAGCGGCAGAGCCGGTGCAGGTGGCAGCTCCTGTCACCTCCAGCACGGGGTGACACCTGGCCTTGCCAGAACGGGGCAGGACGGTGGGGTGGTTACACCAGCAATGCCCCATGGCCCAGGAGGTATCAGCCCAGGGACTGTTGGTGGAAGAAGTGATGCCCCACGGCTCAGGAGGCATCAGCCCGGGGTCGGATGGTGGGTGGAAGGAGCTGGGCTCTGCCCCACAGGGATGAGCTGGCTTTCCTGGAGCCCCTTGAGGGACTGGAAGGGGCTGGAAGGTCTCCCCGGAGCCTTCTCTTCTCCAGGCTGAACCCCCCCAACTCTCTCTCAGCCCCCCCCTCCCAGCAGAGGGGCTCCAGCCCTCAGATCATCCTCATGGCCCTTTTTCTCCTTGAGCATCCTGTTGTCCACTTGTAATATTCTGGTTGGGGGCCTACAATATTTGGATTTTCAGTGATGTTAAAAAAAAAAGGGGGGGTGTATTTCCCTTTTGTAACGTTTGTAATCTTTGTAACCTTCAAATTCGAACGAGGGGGAAAGGCTGCTACATTCTCTTAAGTGCTTCAAGAGCATGAAACACCCATGAAGCTTTAGGTTGAGGATCAGTCCACGGCACTGACCTCATCTCTTGCCTTCCCCTGTTGAGGGTTCCCCTGTTCTCTCTGCTCCCCTCCCCTGAACCCCCATCAGCCCAGGGTTAACAGCCAGGGAACCAAGCTGCTCCCACCAACCCCAGCCCTGCAGAGGGTCAGCACTGGGACACCTCCTGCCCAGCTGAAGGGGTTGGGGCCTCACCCTCCTGGTGCTGCCGACATGGGTTTTCATCTCCCTCACTTATTTTGCAGTGTCCACCAGCGTATTTGGGAGCTGACAGGTTATTAAGGGTTCGGCAGATCCATATCTTTTTGAACCCTCAACTCCCAACCACCTCATTTTGAAGGTCCTGCAAAGCCCTTTGAGAGGGGGCTGAGAGCTCACTGTGAGGACACACAGCCTTACCTATGGGTAAGGGGAAACGCACCTATGGGTCAAGGCCTGGCCCCACTATCTGGTTCCCCATGAAGCATGCCCTGACCAGGCAGTTTGCCCTAAACCTGGAGAAAGCCATGCTCGTGGCAAAGGGTTTTTTCGGTCACACCATGCCCTGGGCTTGTAGGATCTGCTCCTTGGCTGAAGAATCAGGAAAAATTCAAAGAGCCACATGTGGCAATGAGTCTTTATTATAAATATTGGCTCCACTGGGCACGTTCTGGCAGGGCAGTGGCAGCAGGAGGGACTTGGTGGCCGGCTGTTCCATGCTGCTGTGACACCTGGTCCCGCTGGGGCACAGTCTGGCTCCAGTGGCAGTGACGGTCACCACGATGGGACCCCTTCCATGGGACCCCTTCGAGAAGAGCCGTGGGCGCCGCCTGCTCCCTCCAGAGACGGGGCACCGGATGGGTGAGTCAGATGCTGGATGGCAGAAGGAGGATTTCATTTTTTCCTTTGAAGCTTTTTCATGGCATTCTTCACCCAGCGCTTCTTGGGGTCGGCGCAGAGCTTGTCCCCTGTGGCAGCCACAATCCTGCAGCGAGAAAGTGAGGAAAGAGAGTGAATACACCATCCGTGAGCCCCCCCCGTTACCGTGCAACTGCTCCTCCCGCTGGGGGCTGCCCCATCTGGATGGAGGCTTGGAGCCACCTCCAGCAGCCCATGCCCTTCTTGGGTTGATGTTGCACGTCTGAGTTCCCAGACCACTGCCATCAGCAGAAAGCACCAAAACCTAATTTTTTTCACCCAACAGATCTACTTTCCTCCCACAGACCCCCCCCAGCCACGCGCTCCCGGGTGGGCCCAGGCTGCCTGTGGGGCAGGATGGGGTGGGGGGAGCTGCTGTGGCTCCCAGGAGTGCCAGGGGTGGGATGGGGACCCCGGGGGTACTCACACAACTGCGGGCAAGGAGCAGTCGCGGGACATCATGTAGAAGCTCCGCACATGTTGGACAGCTTTCTGCGCGTACTTGAAGCAGCACTCGGTGGGGGTGAAGTGGGCTGTGGGGGGAGAGATGGACCTTGTGAACCCCTTGCAGTACTTGGCAATTAATACGTGGCCAAGCAATGACAGGGTGGGACATCAAACACGGGGTGGGGGCCATAGGGCTTCTCAGCAGCCCCCCTGGCATCCCACGGCAGGGATCCCTTTCCCCTCACGGCAGCAAGGCCCGGGGTGGGAAGCGTGGCCAGCAGTGGGGAGGGGAATGGCGTGGGACCCAGCACCCCACATGGCCACAGCTGCCAAGGTGCACAGAGAGGTCAGGGTGCTCGCCCTGGGGACAAGGTTTTGGGGGTTTTCAAGGTGGGCGCACAACTTGCAAAGTGCTTTGGGGAGGCTCATGCTCCCTCCAGCCTCATCCAGCTGAGACCTGGGCAACAGCTGTTGGAGCCTCCTCCAAGCTCCTTCAGCATCTCCATGGGGCTGGCTTTGCTGAGGCCACCCAGCACCTTCTCCATCCTCCCCTGCCCCAACCAGGGGTTGCTTCTCCTGACAGCAGCACCCTTCCCGCTCCCCGCTGGGTTTCTTGTCTGTCCTCCCCAATGGGACGTCCCCAAGTGGGGACCCCAAGCCCCAACTTGCAGCAGTGACCCAGGAGGTGCCTTACCTGTGGTGCGGTGCAGGGAGAAAGTGAGGAGCATCAGGAGCAGGAGGGTCCGTGCAGTGAGCATGGTGACTGCCTGGGGCTCTTCCTCTGTCCTCCTTGGTGCTGCCCTGCCTGGTGTCTGGGGCTTTGGCTCTCGCTGCACCATCATTTATCCTCCACGTGCCACCCACTTTAACCACTTTTCCAGAAATTTCAGACATGTTCTTTGAAGCCCCCTCCCCAGGGACAAGGGGATTTCTGTCATTGCTTATTGTGGAGGTGCTTCCAGTGGTGGGTGGGTGGGAGAGGCCGAGGAGCGGGGTGGCCACTTCTGCTTTCTTCAGAAGAGCCGCGAGGTTGTGAGAGGTTCCAGGAGGCTTCGGGGGAACCAGAATTTACCCAGAAAAACAGATTTCTGTAAAAACGAGACAAGTCTAAGCTTGTCTGTTTATTTCTAACAGGAGAGAGAACTCAAAGTCTCTGAGCAGGAACAGGTCGTTGACGGGTTTAACTCATTTGCCTGAGTCATCAAAGGCAAGTCCCCTCCAGACTGGCCTCCCCAACCACCCTGGCCACACCAAGGGCACTGGGTTTAGGCAGTGAAGCACTTGGGATGATGGGATGGGGTGGGATGGGATGGGAGTCAGGCAAAGAAAGCCACACTGGACCAAACTCAGAGGGACCCCAGAGCAGGGGGTGACAGAGACACTTTTGGTGGGTTCAGGAGACTTTACAGAAGGAGAAGAGATGGGGCAACAGCAGCGGGGCATCTGGGGAGAATCTGGGTCTGATCCCAAGTATTTTCTCTGCCTCCCACACCGGAGATAGGATCAAAATGGAAGAGGGATGGAAGCTTGTGGTCGTCAGTGCACAGACAGGTCATTTCTGCAGGGAGATGGGACAAGCCCTACCAGAACCCCAAGAGAGTCATCCCAGACCCCAGGGAGGACCCCAAGGGCAGGGGGGGTGGGTGGCACAGACCCCAACGGCATCACTGGTGGACATCAGCCCAGCTTTCACGCAGGGATCTGCTCCCCGGGAAGGTGAGCTGCAGGTGCAGTCTGTATGCAAGGAGGGGGTGAGGACCTGGTGGAAATTCATGTGGGATGATGGTGAGTGGGAGTATGGGAGGGGACCTGGCTGTGGCCTGGGAATGAGGCAAGCCAGGGCTTCTTGGAGGAGAAGAAAGATAGACTTCTTTGAAAGTTATCTCTTGTTTGTGTGGTTTTTCTGAAAAAAAAAAAAAAAAAAAAAAAAAGGAGAAGGAAACAAACCAAACGTGCTGACAACTCTGGTTTAGAAAATGTGGTCTGCAGGACATCGAGTCTGGTGGCCTGGCACAGCGGTAGAGTGGCCATGCAGAGAGCTGGGCATGGCACTGCTGGTTTCTAATGCCACTTTCCCCAGGAAAGGGCTCTGCAGGAAGAAAACACTGAATACAGAGCCCCTGAACTCACTTCTGCAGTGTCTGTCCCGCCCCCCTCCCTGGGCTCTCTCATCTTGCCCTTTCCAGCTCCTACCACATCCTCCATGTACAGAACCTCAAGCCCAACAAGCCACCAGGGTCACGCCACTTCCCAGACATGAATTAAAACTGAAGGGATGTAACTAAGGGAGAATTGAGCTTTAGAAATTAAAATGGGTAGGTGCAAACAAAAAAAAAAAACCCCAATGTAGAGATGGGAAATATTCTCTGATTCGTATTTTGGTTTTTGAGTGGGTAATCATAGAAATTAATTGTGAACAGGGTATGCTGATCCTCTGCACACAATAAATGCCAAAGAAAATGGAAGAGCACAAGGAACTTGCTTACTGGGGATGCTGGTCCCTGACACTGATGCCACCAAAACCCTCTCTGGAGGAAGCACTCATCACCATCAGCCATGGCCAAAAAGGCGAAGGCAACACTGACAATAACTGACTTTCATAAATTCACCGGAGCTTCCTTGCCATGGTTAGGAGTCATAGAATGGGAAAAGGTGATAGTAAATGTCTTGAGGGACATTTGTATTACAAAGGCCATGACAGACAGCAAGAAGACCTTACAAACAGATGTTAACTCTGGATATCAAATGGTGATACAAACACAATTAGCATTAGACGATCTATTAGAGGCCAAAGGAGGGGGCTGTGCTCTCAACACCAGTTGTGGTTTCTGTGTAGACCAAGACAAAAGACTAGAAACAGATGCAATAACAACACAACGCCAACCTCCAACCCTTTGGATGGGTGCACCAGGAGGGCCTTCTCCTTGGGGAAGCCTTTTAAACCATTGCCTTTAGTCCTCAGGACTCTTCAGCCCCTGGGACACCTTGTTTGCTTGGTCTTGATGCCCTCTCCTGCCAGCAGTGCAGGAGGTCCTGGATTACACAGACCTCTCTGCAGAACCCACAACCACTGTCACAGCTAGGTGTCCTTCTCCGGTCCTGGGTCCAAACCCTCTGCCAGGGATTTCTGCTGCATGTGATGGTGTCACAGCACTGGCAGTGGCCTCACAGCCCCAGTCCTGTTCCTGTCCTCAGGCAGCAGCAGCTGCAGAGCACTGCGCTGGTTGGAGAAGGCAGCTCCAAAGGATGGCCCAAGCCCTTGGTCCAGGCCCTCCCATGCTGGATGCCATTGGGCTGGCATGTCACAGCTGGCTTCTCCTGCTCAGGAACACCAGCTGCCTCTTCTTCCTTGGTCCCAGCGTCATCCTGCGCCTAGTGGCCTGCGTTGCTGGCACAGAACCTCCAGCACATGCCAACGGGTAGGAGGGATGGGGTCCTACCATTCCTCTGGGTCAGCCCTTACTGGGGAGCCTGGCAAAGCTAGGTCCTGCAGGGTCCTGCTCCTGCTCAGCAGGACAGCCCCTGGCCGGGGACCTGGCAGGGACCCACATGCACCACGGGACAGGGCAAGAGGCCTCTTGAAGGGCTCAGCCTGGGGAAGGTCATGGTGATGCTGGTTCTGTGATGGTGATTGCTGGTTCTGTGCTGATCAGTCGCTGCCAGGAGCCAATACTAGAAGAAGGACCAGGATGGAGGTGGGGCCCTGCTCAGCCCCAGTGCTGTCTCCTCCAGGTGGTGGGATGCTCCTCCTTGCTCTGTGCTCACACCCTGGATGTCCCCATCCAGCCAGGGCCCTGGGATCTGTGCTGCAGCCGTGTCACAGCTATCAGGAGAGGGCACCACGACCAAGCAAACCGGGTGTCTCCACAGTCTGAAGGCTCCTGAAGAGTAAAAGCACCTCCTGGTGCACCCCAGAGATCTTCACCTGCCGCTTGGTGCCCGTGAGACCTCTTGTTCCCAGACCCACAGTGTGTCAGGGTCATCCCTCAGCACTGGAGGGGTTTTCTCCCTGCTGGGAAGGTGCCACAGCTGAAATCCTGTTCCCCAGGAGCTGGCAGCATGGGCAGTGGGGCTGCCAGGGCGGCTGTGGTGCTTGCTCAGGGACTTGATAGGTATTAATCTGGCTGGTGGCAAGTGGTGGCTTCTGCATCACTTGCTGGTTTTTGTTGGGTTGGGTTTTTTTTTTTTTTTGTGGTTTTCTTTTGTTGGTTGGTTTTCATTATTTTTTTCCCCCCTTATTAATCTGTCTCGGGGAAAAAAGGAGGAAATGAGAAGACGTTCAGAGTTATAGCATTTACCTTCCCAAGTCCCCGTTATGTGTGATAGAGCCCTGCTCTGCTGGAGGTCGCCCATGGGAAGGAGTGAACGAAGCCCTCATTTTGCTTTGCTTGTGTGAGCAGCTTTTGCTTTACCTGTTAAGCTGTCTTTATTTCAACCCATGAGTTTTCTCACTTTGGCCCTTCCATTTCTCCTCCCCATCCCAAAGCCCTGGCAGGGATCACTGGTGGGCTCCCTGTCCCCCCTGGCATGGAAGGGATTTCCAGGGCTGTACATGGGTGAATCCCTCTCCTGCTCCATCATCCCTTGCTGGTCCTACCTGCCCTGGGAGCTCTGCAGGGAAATACTCCTCCTGCAGCACAGCCCAGACACACTGAAATCCTGGGGCAGATGTGGCAGCTGAGCTGTGCTCATGCTCGGGGCAACACAAGGACAAGCTGAAAGCTCCAAGCCCCAAACTGATGGCAGTTCTGCACCTAAAAGCCCTCAGAGGAATCTTCAGCCCCCTTTGGATCCCCTTGAAACAAGTCCCCAGACACCCAGAGCATCCACACAGCACCCCCACATGCCCCTCCCTGCCTGCCCTAGTGAGACCCACAAGGTTTGGGGAGGAGGTGGGAAGAGCCCCCATCCTCTCAGCCGGCTCCATGCCCCGACCAGCCAGCAGCAGCACAGTTGCTGGGGCTGGGAAAAGAAAAGACATCACTCTCCAGTATCACATGAAGTAAACCTTTATTTCGTGGCTGTGCTCAGTGGGCAGGTGCTGGCAGGGCTGGAAGCACCCCAGGAGCTGGTGTTCAGCTGGTCAATGTGGTGCAAGGCTCTGGGGAGTCAGTGCCGTCCCTCAGCAACAGGGACCTCCACAGGCCTTTTCAGGAGGACTATAAACCTTCCTTCCCACCAGGATGTTGAGTAGTCTGAACCAGGGCACCCACTCTACATCATGGGGCACGAAGTCCTTTCTTTTTTTGAAGCCTCTCAACAGTGTTCTTCACCCAAGCCTCTTCTGGGTTTGTGCAGATCTTGGACCCGTTCCTGGTCTCAAACCTGCCAAGATGAAAGGTGAAGCTTGGTGGGAAATGACAGCTATAATCCCGCTTGTGTCCATGCCATCCTCCCTTCCTTGCACTCCTTCTCCTTTTCCTTTGGCCCTGCACACTGCCCCTGGGCACTTGGCATCCTACAAGCAGCTCATCCTGCAGCCCAACACCTCTAGAGCCTGTGCAGAACCTTCAGGACCTGCAAGGGACCCATGGCCTTAACTCTGCCCTGTAGAGGTGGTCAGACGGTTACGTCCTCCCCTCTTCATGCCGGCAGACAGTCACCCAGTGAGGCTATGCAGAACTGCCCTGGTCCTGTCCCCAGACAGGACAGGTGAACTGAGCCTGTGGTGATGCAGGAGACAAAAGAGCAGTGAGGAAATGACCAGGACTTACACAATTGCTTGGGAAAAGCACCCCTTGGGAGTCACGTAGAAACCCTTCAGGTTAGGCAGCCGGAGAGGTGACTTACGGTAACTGAAGCAGCACTCGACCGGAGCGAAAATGGCTGCAGAAGACAAAGAGAGATGGTGAAAATTTGCTTTGGTCTTTAAGACCCTCCCCCATAACAAGGCTGATGCACACAACATCCCCCAAGTTCTGCAGATGCTGCTGTGAGGAGCTCCAGGTGCCTCCTTCCTTCCTGGGGCAAAAGGATGCTCCAGGTTATCACCCAGCACCCCCAGCCCTGAAGAAACCCCCCAGCCCCAGGAGCAGTCTCCGTCCTTCCATGCACCCCAGGACGTGCTGCCCCACACCGACCAGGGGGTTGCTCCTGCTGCAGCAGCACCGTCCTCGCGCCACACCAGGGTTCCTTGTCTGACCTCCCCAAGGGGACACCTCCAGCCCTGACCCACAGCGGTGGCCCATGGGGTGCCTTACCTGCATCACAGTGTAGAGAGAGGGTGAGGAGCAGCACAAGTGCTAGGACTGTCCTTGCAGTGAGCATGGTGGCTGCCTGAGGGATCTTCCTCGCGGGGTGCTGCTCTGCCTCTTCGGAGGACCTCAACTGTGAGCTCAGGCAAGGAGGTGCTGCAATTTATTCTCTTCAACCCCTCCCCAAATTAGCCCTTTTCCAAAGAATTTTGACCAAATTCAGGCGAAAGCCCTGTATGTTTTCTTTGGCCAAGGGGATTTCCGTGTCACGTGGGATTTTGAAGGTTACTGACCAAGATAATACCTAGAAAGACTTCAGCAACTTCTGCATTCGTCGAGTCGGGTCTGTGGGAAAGCCACAGGGTCCAAAAGGGAAGTGAAACGCTCCTCTGAGGTGAAGGTGGAGACCTGCGAGACCCAGGGAGAGGGGGTCAGTGGCAATAGGAAAGGCAAAGCCCAGTTTTCCATGCAATGTCCCTGAGAAGCAACAGGGCTGAAAAGCCCAGGGGAAACATAAACGTTCTGATGGTGATCAGATGTCTGTGACCTTCCCGGACAGCACTAAGCAGAAATGCGGTGACGGCTGCTCCAAGTCTTTTGCAGCTCGAAAGCTGCAAGATGTCAAACACAGACCGAAATTGCGTCACATTCCATGCTGTTCCTATGGAATGGAGCACGAGTTTTCCCACCAAAAAGCCCTGTTTATTGCTGGGAAGTGCGGGGTGAAAGGAGAATAGGGTACAGCCAAGCCCTCCCTCATGGATGAGACCGTCTTAGACCTTTGGCTTCAGGGCAGGAGCCTGACTCAGGAAGTCAAACATTGGTTCAAAGTCCTTGGGTGTTTTTCCAGCATCTTCCTCCCTTTGCAGCCTTGAAGCCTCCCAGATCCTGCAAGGACCTGCAGAAGGGGGGTCAGCCTCTCTGTGTTAACCTGGGGACAGCTTCTCCACACCATGCTCTACTCCCCCTTCTTCACCCAGCCACTCAGACCCTTCTGCAGGTCCTTGCCAGTCATGCACAGCTCCTGCTGGAAGTTTATTTCCCCATTCCCTCTTTTTTTTCCAAGCTGGAAGCGGATGAGTGGAGTAGCAGGGTTCCATGAGGTGCCTCATCCTCCACCATGAGCCATCCAAGCCCTTCTTCACACTGGCAACCCCCAGCCACCCTCTGCCCCTTTGGAGCAGGACTTTGTGCCTGGGGCTTTGTCATCCCTGGACACTGTGTAAAAAACTTGGGGGAAAACCACCCAATGCTGAGAATTGCTCTGGTCTTGCCCAAGTCTCCTCAACCCCAGTTGCAGTAGAAGACTCATATCCTGCTAAGGAAGGCTCAAGGAGCCCAGGCAGGGTATGCCAAGGCTCTTCCCAACCTGGTAGAAATTATTAAAATATATACTCAGACTCCTGTAGCTGTTGGGCTTTGGCTCAGCTCCTGTGGAGAGATGGAGTCCCTGTGTCTCAAAAGCATGACTTGGCCCGGGAGGATCTGGCATGAGGCCACCCCTGCTGTGTAGCTGCCAGAGGACTGAAAATAAAGCATAAAGTGGGGCCTATAAACAGGTCCCACAACCCTTAGAGATAGTGCTGTTCCTTCCTGCGTGTTCAACCCAGTGACTCAGTGTTTCCCTGGGCTGTAATAAACATTTCATGCCCTCTGCTGATCCCCAAAAGCATCTTTCCTTTGTCCCACAGCTTTGCAGGTGCTCTCTTCCCCTTCTCGGCCATCTCCCCACCTCTGTTTTGCCCCAGGCTCCCTTCTTGCAGACTCACATGCCTTTCCAGAAGCCTCTAGCCAGAACTGGGCCACGACTGCTGGGACCAGAGTAGCCTCCCATCCCATGGAGACCATCCCCTCAGGCCAGCCTTTTGGACTCCACAACACTCCATGAGCTGCAGCCAAACTAGTAGTGCTCTCCTGGGGACATGGGCCATATTGCTGCTCCCAATGCATTTTTGTCTTACCTGTGGCGTGCACAGGAGCAGGGCCACCAAGCATAGGTGGCACGATGCTGTCATACCCATGGTAGATGTCCTCACGCTGGAGGAACTGCAGCCTTCCCTGCAGCCACGGACCAAGCCTGCCCTAACCACACAAGGGGCAAAGCCATCATCCAAGGGCTGGACCCTGATCAACACAGAAGGGTTTTGGGGATGAATAGGCACGGTCTCACTGCAAGCCCATGGCATGTCTCCCCATGGCCTGGGGGTTCACTCAACCACTCCTCAGCTTTGGGTGGGCAGCACAGAGTGCTGCTGGCTGACCAAGTACAGGGGCACCCAGCAGCCGGGGTGAGGGAAGAGGGGACAGACCGCTCTGGTTGAAGAGGACCTTGAGAAGTAAAGCACTCATGTTGGCCTGCTTCTGCAGAGTTGTACTTGATTATCTGGCAGAAGATCTGTCTTGAGATGCTCTGCTTCCCCTTTCTCAGGTTTTCAAGCCATCGCTATTGCAGCCAGACAATTCACACAGCCAGACAATTCTCTGGAGACCCTTAAATGTTTAGTCTTTCACTTTTTGGGAAGGGAAAGGCTGATGTGCACTCATTAGCTGAGGACTGCTGGAAAGCCCCACAAGCTGACCCAAGTTCCCTTTTCATTTGAATGTTCTCTGGCAAATTTGCTTGTTTACATAAAAAATAAACAGCATCCTCTTAAATCTGCAAGAGGAGGAGGCGGGAAGCTTGAGGAACACCACAGGTGCAGACTTTGCCAGCAATGGTACCAGTGTGGGGAGGAAGGAGCTGGGCAGAACATGCCCCACACTTGGGAAGGGGGTTTGAGCACCTTCTGAGGTGCCAGCTGAGCACCATGGTTGGGTGCCAGCCCCATAACTGAGCACAGCCAGCCCCATGTACTGGAAAACAGAGCCCCACGGTCATTGTGCTGCTTGGGAAAGGACAGGCTCTGAGCTGCAAAAGCAGCCGGTCTGCCGAGACAGGAGAGAGGTGGCTGAGCAACAGGGAGTGTCTGAAACCCAGCCCCAGGTGCTGGGAGGGCTGGGAACAAGCTTCTCCCTGTTATCTTCTCTTCTGCCCCATCACTTTGAGCCTTCTCCATTTACACCATGAAATGTTCTAGTTTTTCTTCTTTGGGGTGCTCACTCAAGGGTCTCGCCAGCTCCATACTGGCACTCTGGTTGACTCAGGATACAGTCGCAAGCCAAGGGTGGTGCTCTCCTTCCTTCCCAGAGTCAGCGCTCACCCTGCGACTCCAGGTGTGACCGTGCCAGGTCCTACAGCCTGGAAAGACACTTTAAAAAGAGGAAAACAAGAGTCTCTTCCAAATCCTACTTCCTCAGCTGGACACTGGGGACCACCAAGTACTGGAAGCTGGTGACCCAAGCCACAGACTGTGCAGTAAGTCCTGCCTGGTGTCATGACACTTGGAGGCCGCAGGAAGGATGTGTCTCCAGGAGCCCTTCCCCAGGAGATTATCTGCATGGAGTCACTGGGCAAGCTGGCCCACCGGCACTGGGGACACAGCAGAAACTCACTGCAGCCGGGCAGGGAACCCTCACCATGGTGGCCAAGCAGAGGCAGGGGTGGATGCACCTGGACCAGAAACTGGAAGGGACCACTTTGCTAAGGAAGAGAAAAACGCGCGTGATGCCAGTTTCCTCAAATGCACCAGAAAGGAGAAGTTCTCCCACTTTTTCTCCAGTTTGGTTGATCAGCTGCCTGGAGGTTAAGTGAGGGATGGATGTGGGGAGTCAGGAGGAGCTGCTGCTGCTCCCAAGGGGACTCTGCGCTGGAGAGGCTCCTGTGCCAGGTAGCAGTCAGGGGAAATGATGCTTGGTGAGGATCTCAGCCTATTTTTTTTTTCAACCCTGACCTTTTTGCGCTCCTAGACTTAAAGACAGCAGTGGAGAAATGCTTCAGCTCAGCTTTTAAAGCAAAGCTGTGATAACAGAAAAAGAATAGGACATGGAAGCAATTTCAGCACAATTTTTCATTATTTAATTCTGAATAGAATTAGTCCTGATAACTCCAAGAAGGCCATAAAACAAGTTGTGAATTTACTTGTTCCTTAGTTTTTGGTTAGGATAAAATCCAGCAATCAGAAAAAAAAAATAAATCAGTTGAGAGAACGTGATGAGAAAGATACATTAAGGTCCCTAGGTACTGAAATAAAAAAGTATTTGTGCCAGCCACGGTCTGAGTTGGCAAGCTGATGTTACATCCCTCTTTGGAGGGCTCAGCTCCTTTCTTCCTACAATCTTTTTTTTTTTAATTTCTTGCTTTGTGGCATTGTAGCTCACTTGACAGAACTCAAGGGTTCTTCAGAAATGAAGCTTCCTCCATCACCCGAGATGGTCACTGAAGATGATCCTGGAGAGTCCCGACAACCTCTATTTTTACCCAACGGGGACTCCAGTTCCAAGAGCAGCCTTTGCAGTGACGTAAACAAGGGACACAACCCTCATAAAAAGTGAAGATTAAGCAAATGCGAGGTGTGGGAGAGCCACAGCCACACAGCAGAACCGCGGCCGTGCAACCAGAGAGCTAAGGGGACATCCTGCATTCTGCTAGGCCAGCACTATGGAAGTGGTGGTACAGCAGCTTGACCAGAAGCTGCCCTAAGCACGCTTACGCAATACTTCCTAGGAAAACCACCACACAGAGCAAGGACAGACATTTCATAACTCACAATCCAAATTTCAAACCAGAAAGGACATCGACTGCAGGGGCTCTGCTCCGTAGCAATAACTGTGCCCCTGGAGAGAAGGCCGGGCTTGGAGAAAGCAATGGCAGAGGTGTCTCATTGACAGGTCCAGATTGCAGGGAGCAGCGAGAGGGGACAAGCGAGGAGGCCAAGGTTAACTCCAGCACAGGCAGTGTCCTCAACAGTGAGGTGAGGTCCCACAGGGTCTGAACATGGGGGTCAGAGTCAGGTACCCTGGTAACAGGGTTCATCAACAGTCCCAGACACACCAAAGTGAGGAACCAGGTCCAGGATGCATTTGGGAGGGTTGGGGGACATCCATTCAGCAGCAGGAGATGGAGATGGGGACAGAGACAGGGCTACAACCCCAAAGGGTCCATCCAACCAGGAGCCAAGGTATCTCTAGCATAAGTCCAGGGTCTATCCAAGAGAAAGAGCCAGGACATCAGACCAGACTCTTACAACATATCCAAAGCAGGGACTAGAAGCTCCAAGCCTGAGCTTAAATGGGGCTCCTGGGCCTTGGCCAGAGGGTGGGGAAGTGTGTGTGTGTAGGGACAGGTGTGGAGACACCTGAGGCTGGTCAGGCTGATTAAGGCCAATTAGTGCTTTCAAGGCCTGCTACCGTGCCATCTGATGGATCCTGTGGGGATGTGAAGGTGAGCCTGTGTGGAGACTCAGTGACTCCTCATTCTCATAAGGTCAATCAAAGGAGCCAGCTAACAAAATGGTGGAGAAGGTTTGCACTGATGTGGAGTTGGAAACCAAAGATGTGGGTCAGCAAGGGAGCAGAAGGGACACACTGTGACCACGGGCCCCCTGTTTCCTGTGGGCTGGGGGAAAAACCTCAAGGCAGAAGCATATATCTTGCACACCAGGTGCAGAAGGCACACCTTGTCCCACCTGAGCATGACAGACTTGGCATTAGTTATCTCCTTGGCCAAATTCTACACCCGAGGCAGCCCATGGAGGAGCACAGGAAGGCACACAGTTGGACATCCTTTGCACAGACATAGAGCAGCAGCAAAGCTGGGGAGCATCTGCCACCAGCTGGCCGAGGGACTGAGCACCCAATATCTCCTCTGGTGCTCCAGAGCTGCAGTCCCTGAACGGCCCATGCCGGAGCTTGGAAATGATTCATCGCTGCCGGGGCTGACTTGTTTACACAGCCTCCTCCTCCCTTGCCCGCCCTCTCCCCATAATAGGAAGGAGAAAAGAAAATAAAAAAAATAATAAAAAAAAAAGAGCTTTTATTTCCGCAGAGCTTCTTATCCCCCAAAAGAACTTTCTAGCCTGGTGACTCATCTGGGGGAAGTTTCCACGGGCTTTGCCATCTTCCCAGCATGCCGGGCCAAGGGGCTGGGTACGGCTGGGATGAGGGACCCCGGGATGCAGGGGAGATGCTCATCCTTGACTCTCTTGCTCCTTCCAGCTCCCCAAAATAGCCAAGTCCCTGGGCACCAACTCCTGTACTGCGTTGCCTTTCCCACTTCTCCTGTCCCCCCCAACTCTCGAGAGGAGCACAAGCCCTGGCTGGGGTGGGAGAGGTCCTAGCTCAGTCCTTGGCTTCTTGCTCCCCTACAGAACAGACTTGGAGCGTGACGTTTGCCTTCTGTGGGCTGCTGTTTGGCCGTGGCTTTGCTTAAACAAAGCAAAACCTGGCTGTTTTTTCAGTATTGCCTTAGCAGGAAGGGAAAGGCGACTCCCCTGTGAGAAAATACAATCATCCCTGCAATTTTTTTGGCAAGATGAAAGCCCATAAACAGTGAGGAGGTGGAACAATAGCCCGGCTGCAGCAGCTGCCCCAGCTTTGCCATCTCTCAGTGATGCTGGGATTCCCCCATGGTGCTCCATCACATGTGTTCATCCCCACACCTCTGCAGTCACCAGGCTTGGTTACCCAGCCCTGGGCTGGATCACCCGAGAAGAAGAGTTTTTAACATATGGACTTTATTATTTTTACTTCTTAAAAAAGGCACAGAACATACATCTTACTACACCAATGAACCAGAGCTTGCAACACTCACCACACTCTACAGCAAATGACACTTTAAGCCCCAGGGACCAGTGACACCCACAAGCTCTGTCATTCCACGCCAACATTCACCACGTGCCCTCCCAGACTGCCCATTGCATGGTGAAAAGCAAGGAGGAGCAGTGGTGTGTGTCCCCCCGTCCCCCCAGGTTTTACCTGCCCCTGCATGAGGGCAGCTGGTGCCTGCCCCGCTGACAGCCTGGGCACAGGAGCAAGGTGAGCACAAGGATGGACCCAGGCTGGAGGAGCAGCTCCTCCTGAAGAGTGCCAGCTGGAAGGTGGTGGGATCCGGCCGTGGAGCCAAAACGGGTGCCCTTACAAACACCATGGTGGGACTCAAAGTGATCAGATCTGCTTGGTGCACATTCATCTCCCCAGCATTGCCCCAAGATGAGGACTTCACCCCCCAACCAGACAAGTGTCCACTCTGTTTGCTGCAGTCCCCAGAGAGTGACCCAGCTTCCATAAGCCATCCAAGAGCAGCAAGAAAATAGACAAGGCACAGTGTTTTCCAGTTTCCCCAGAAAGGTCTCGACTCCGTGATGTTCCAGTAGCAAGGTCAAGACACTATATACATTCAAATGGCTACAAAACTTTACTACAAAAATAAAATTTCTAGTGTTTCCTATAAAAATAACACCACAGTACATGGTCTCAGGAGGCCACGAACCCCAGCTGTGGAGGAGCAGGGGGATGGGGAGCTGGTGCTGACAGCCCCCAATTTACCCTCCAGGTAAATCAACCCCAGCCAGCGTCACACAGCTGGGCTGCACAGGGTTTCACCCCCAATTCCTAATTACAATTAACCTGATTGCATTCTGTGCTTGCAAAGCCCAAGGTGAATCCCTGGCTCCCCTCTCTCAAGTCAATAAACTGCAGAAAGAAGGGATTGAATATGGCAGAGAACAAAGACCGTTGCAGCCCACCCTCTCCAGCTAGATGGCTGCCCTGAAGGTGCAATCTGACGGACCAAATAGGCTGCCTTCCTCTAGCTCTACTTTACAGCTGGGCCCTCATTTTTGTTTTATCTTGCTTATTTTGTGCTTTTACTTTCCATTTTCTACATACATATTCATACTTTGGGATATGATCCACTGAGGTTGGTTAGAGGAGGATCTAACCTGTGAGATGTATCTCTACCTACAAAGCATCGTATCTTGAAGACCTTTGCACATTCCAACAAAATTCATCCCAGAGTCAATGTTTAATAGGGAATTTCAGGGACTGACCATAGAGAAAAGATAAGTCTTGCATACAGCGATGTCTACATGCGTAAAAATCAAAAACAGTTTGGGCTAAAAAAAAAAAAAAAAGCCTGGTACTGTTAGGGTGCTCTAACAGCCTGGTGATCAGTGCTATCCAAAAAAAGAAAAACTAAAATGCAGAGTAGGTCCTGAAGTGTAGGACCACAAACAGGCATTTTGTGCTTTTTTTGTGGATCAGCGAATGGGCTTATTTCTAGAGAGAATACAGGACCAGAAGGATGGTACGTCGGCTGCGGTGGAGTGATTCCTACACAACTAAATCCAGAATTTTATTTAGGTCCTCCTGCCGTGGTGTTGGAAGCAGTTGGACATTGGGCGCATCAGCTGGGTTTTATTGCAGTTGGTTGGCCAAGAACCAGGTCTCAGACTAAATCTGCAAGAAGCAGCCCATAGCTGCTGCAGATAAAGGTGGCCTGATTTCAAGGAGGAGATATAGATTGTGGGTTGCCAGCTCCTCTGAAGGTGAAATCTGTAGCACTGACCTTCAGTCCCCTACTCAGATGCAGTTTTCAGTATCTGTCTCAAATGCAAGACCCCTCGTGCCTCCAGTGAGAGTAACTGGGGTGTTTGATCCGCCCAAGGAGAGCCAGCACCCAGCTCACCACCAGCAACCATCTCGGTCTGAGAGTGCAAGGAAAGCAGCAGCAGAGAGTTTGTTAAGTGCAAATGGCATGGATTTGGCGTTAAGATTGCTCGGGGTGGCTGAGCCTGAGTCCAGCAGCGTGGGCGAGTGGCTTCTTGGCTGAACGATGATGAAACGCAGAAAAATTTCCGACGGCAATTGGGAAATTCACTTCTGCCCACCACTTGGCAAAGAGCCACCAGGCAGCTCTGGAGCAGCAACAGCCTTTGTACGTAACAGTGCCAGAACAAAAAAAAAAAAAAAAAAAA